AGTGTCAACAGGGTTTAGGGTGACCAGAAGGGATTAATTAGGATATCTGGCTATGTGGATTGCTTCTAACATTCCACTCCCCCTAACTCATTTTTTTCAGATTTTTTTTCTAGTCTATTTACCATTATCCTAATTTGTAAGGCTGTTGTATTTAACGCATACAGCTTAGTATTCTTATTCTCTAAATTTATCTTATAGTAGAGTCTTGTAAGTTGCTAAATTTAATTGTTTAAACTCGCAACTGAATTCTGTGTTCCTTTGCATCAGCAAATAAGTTAATAATATGATCAAAGTTAACAATGTTGTCTGTTCCATTACGCTCAAGTAGTGCCAAAGCAGATAGTCTCGCTTGTCCCATCGTAGCTTTAAGATATGGCAGGATGAGCTTTAAATAGTCATGTAGTCATTACAGAATAGGATAAAAAAGATACGAGAGAAAACGGTCGAAATGGACTGAAAAGAAATCACAACACATTTAGATTCTTATTAAACTGGAAAATATTCATGCCTGACGACATAGATAAATTTCGTCGTGTTTTTCTAAAAATTACTTATTTTTTTTACTGGCGCCCGGGGCATGTCTTTCCCCCCAAACCTGGCGCCCGGGGCATGTGCCCCCTGACCCCCCTAGCTACGCCACTGCTGTCGGGCAAATCCTGGCGCCACCACTGGTTGTAGGGAGAGAGACGGTTTTTCGTATTATATCGTACGGGCCTCTGTGTTCTACACGTGACGCTCGCCGAGAGAAATCGGATTGCAGGTTCGATTCCCTTTTCTATATAGGCCTAACTATAATCAGGAATTTTCGTTGATGGACTATGTTTGATACTTTCATGTTCCTCCTATATATATTTGAGCACTGTACTATTATTTTTGATTTATTAATTGATTAATATATAGCCCTAGACCTATACATATATAATGTAGGCCTATAACATAAACAAATGGCTAACTAATAATAACAGTGCATGCCCAAATAGGAACAAGATATTATAATAGTACTAAAGCATAGCCTTTCAACGAAAAGTTTCTTTTTATTCAGTTGTATGAAAAAAGTGTCTCTGGCGGGATTCTAACCTGCAACCTCTCGCTATCAAGGCGAATATCATGCTCACTAGACCACAGAGATCTATTATAGATACACACAGATGACCCCTAGGCACTTTTAAGACACTGAAAAGCTCACACATATTGGAACTATGGTTAAGCTAGATATCTGTACTTATTCTAAGTCACAGCTTAGTTTGCTGCGTAGCAATTTAATTTTTAAAATAGATAAATAATAATAACCTTGCTTGCTCGAATAGGAACAATTGTTATAATTGTATCTAGCACAGCCAAGGCTAAACGTATTATTTATTTTTAGGCCTATAAGAAATATTTTAAAGCATAAGGATTTATTCTAAAAAAATTAAAGCATTTAACTGTGTCGTGTACATTTTTTGTGGATAGGCCTATGTGTCATGGTTCCTTTAAAATATAAATTGGCATGTTGAATGACAGCGTATAACCATCGTCACTATGTTGTGCTTTCGTCACTTAATTAAACTACTGAATGTCATACACACACACGATGCACGTCAGTTTCTATCATTTTAAATCTGTAAGCTGTTAATCATCCTAATTAAATTTTATGACGCTTTAAAATTACAATTGTTGGTTATTAACGTTTTATTTCGAGAAATCGCGCCTTTATAAATGACATTTTAAGAAAATCGCATGGATTCCATACAACTTAATCTACCGTTTGGGCCTCTGCCTTATATGGCCAGAACAGCTGCAACTCCCTGGCATCACTGCGCTCCTTTTCCATCTCTCCATCTCCTGAAAACGTGTGCATCACGGGTACCATAGTGACGTCGAAGATTTGACAAGTATGCCAGTGAATCATTGTCCACGGGGACGACGGATGAAATATTAACTGTTTATCCAACGATGTTTTTATAATCTTTATAGTCATATCGACGATTCCTTTTCACTTAAGATGCGTTTACTGAAAGGTAAGTTAGTAATAGAAGCACACACGTGACATTTTGCAGACGATAATTATGTAATGATTTTGTTTAAATATACGGACTACTGATTTTCAGTCGGCTATTTTGTTGTGTGATGCGTCATTACGATATGCGTTGACCAATTAATAATGCCTAACTCACTTTGCCTTAAAACATTCTTCCCACCTTAACTTCTACCTGGTCATTAAGTTGCACTAGGCAGGTCGCTGAGGATTCCTAAAATTCGTCAGTGTGTCATAATATTTATCATAATAAAATTTGACCAAGTGAAGAACGTAAATGTCTGAATTTTCTCATGTCCTGTGGTGGTAGTAGTGTGTGTGTTGTGTCAGCGTTTCCACATAAAATAGACATACACGCCCTATTGGAATTTAGAAGCATCGTATAAATGTAACTTAAGTTATGCTTATTATATAACCCTTTTTTGGGTGCTGGATTGTCCAGAACATATAGACCTTATGAGATATAGATTTTTTTTTTAATTTATGGGCATAGGATCGTGATACATTGGCCTATTAATTTTATTGATTGTGCCATTTTAACGAATAGTTGATTTACGTCATCGGTAGGCCTATTGCGCAGGATAAAATACGTTTAATGCTTATGATTTATTTAAGTAGCAGCCCTTGTGGCACTGGAACTGTTTTTAATATCAACATTAAATAAAACTTCCACCGGTTCATGATGGTAAGTAAAATTATTCACCCGAGGGTCTATTTATGTACTTAGTTCACCAACTGGGAGGGATAACGAAATTTCAAGGTCTAATGTCGAAAGTTCAGTTAGGCCTAACGTGATCTCAGAAGCTGTTTTCCGTAATACAATAATTATTAGGTCATGGATAGGTATCTATGATTAGGCCTCGTATTGCATTGCATTACATCACGTGACATCTTGATTATTATGTATGTATTAAAGATCATTATGAATATTAATTTTCGCCATGTACAATACGCGGGGTGTTTGATGCAGCGCACCACATACACAAAAGCATTATACACCGAATGAGATTGAAACCAGAATAACGTAAAAGTTACATTGTTTTACTTCAAATGACATAACAAATGAGATATATCTATAAAAAAAATATTCTGTTTTAATATTTTAATAATTATAAAAAATAATATTTGGAATTATTAACATTATTATGATTTAGGCCTATAGGCTTTCAACTGAAGATTAGAGGAACAACGTTCCTCGCTAATCCATACACGTGCGTACTTGTTCCGATATAATTTTTGCATTTACCTTTAAATAATTGTCTGGTATACATTTAATGATTTTCGTATTAGACCTGGACTTTTTTAATGAACAATTAAACGGTGTAGGCCTATCTGGCATGGCATATATTATTTAAAAAAAAAATGTTTTCTGCATTCGGATTTATGTTAGGTATGTGCTTCCTTCAGTTTGCTACAACTTTCACTTGAATAACGTGCAAAATTTTAAAACAGTGGCGGATTAATCAAATCAAAGTTTATTTTTCCTTTGGAACATAAAACAATTAACTGAAACTTCACTTCAAGGTAAACAGTATCTAGGGGGGGGGGGGAAGTGATCCAAGCTATAGGCCTAATCAAAACACGGGAGAATGCAACAAAAGGAAGGAGGATCAAATAAATTGGTTTTCTGATTGATCCGCCATTCTCATAACGTATAATGAAATATTAAAAATGTAATTGTTGCTGTACTAAAACACTAATACTAATAATAATAATAATAATAATAATAATAATAATAATAATAATAATAATGATAATAATAATAATAATGAAAATAATAATAATAATAATAATAATAATAATAATAATAATAATAATAACGACAATAAAAAATAATAAAAATAATAACAAAAACACAATAAATACAAAAAAACAAACAACAATAAAAGAAAAAATATTATTGTAACTGCAACAAGCAGTGTATAATAATGATTGGTATGTAAATGCAATAAAAACCGTAAAGAAAAAGACAATGGCAGTAAAAATAAGCTCATCAATAATAAAATTAAAAACAAAATAAAAATATATATATATCATATTCATAAATATAAAGTGAAAGAAATAATCTAAATAAATAAGTATTAATGTAAGCTTTTGGTATACCAATAATGATGTCGAAATTACGTGTGCGACGCGGAATTTGCCCAAGGGGGACACAAAGCTCAAGGTAGAGGTCTTATTCGTCTTACAAGTGTACGTGGAATTTCTAAAATTATCAGCCTGTTCTTTGAATCAAACGAAAAGTTCAGTAGTTTTTCACATTTTTTTTTGCAAGTTATTCTTTTAATTTAGTATGATTATAATTTATTATGGGATCATGTTCGAGCTTTAGATTGAATAGGCCTATAGTCAATAGGCCTAAAGATGACATGTCTAATTAACTGGGGAGCATCTGTCGCGCGCGTCCAGTACGTAGCTGTATTAGTATATCGGCGGCGTGTATACATCAGTTTGTAAGAGGCCCGGGTACGAGAAACAGACGGCATAGGAAGATAGAGTAATAAACATACGTTGCTGAGAGTAGGGAAAACGTAGAATAGAAAGGGCGTTTCACACAGATGCAGAAATGACTGGAGGAAACAATAAGCTGGTAAAACAGTCGAGTTTTGTGAATCATACAAAGCGGAGATTGGAAAAAGAGGAGAAGGAAAGGCAGCAGCAAAAAAATGAAAAAGTAAGAAAATAATTTCAGATTTGTGCTAATAGCATTTAACACTAACTTTTAGGTTCATGTATGTGGGTGTGACGTCAAGGCAAAAATTTACTGATAATTAGGCCTATATATAATAATTTCGATCAATCATATTGCGTGGGTTGGTGGTTTAATTTGTTTGAAACATTTTTCCATCTAATATATGCAGCGATGAACCTTTATCACGGTACGAGATAGAAATTCCATTCTAATTTGGTCTCGGTATGTCTGTTGTGATCACATGAGCTAATCCACTGTGCGCATGCCGTTTTCCAGCGACCGATTGCGACAGCTTCTCTCGACCAGTCACTGAATCGAGTTAATCCACGAAGTGTTTTAAATATCTTGAAACCTTTTATTTTATGATTCTGTAGAGAAATGTTTAAGATGAGTTATGAGTAATTTCTATTGGAATATTTACATTGTGTTGATTTCTTTTATTTCTTGAAGCATTATCTTGGAAACGATTACGATAGTGGCAACAGAAGTTTGCTAAATTTATCGTAGAAGAGGTTTAATTAAAGAGAAACTATTTCCGTTTTGAGTTTCCTTCAACCGAAGTGTGAACTTCCTTTGATTTTTTTGGATATATATCATAGGCATACGATATGGCTTCATTTTCGCCAAATGTGAGTAGAATCATTTATCAAAGAAAGTATAATGTCTGATAGTTTGCAAAGAATGACATCCAGTTATTATTTGTTAGCCCGGACTCATTAATCATGTTCAGTAGGGGCTTACTCCTCCGTAGCCGACACTGAAATCTTTCAATTTAATTTTCAAATGGAATGCAATCTTTGTATATTGAGTATCACATCTGCTATAATTAACACCCTTTCGGCGATATAGCATGTAGGCCTACCACTTATTGTTTTCAAAATATTTAAAGAAATCTCTAAATCCTGAATCTTGAAATATGGCTCTTAACAATTTGAATAGCACATGATTATGTATTGTTGTTCAACTGAAATATTTTTATTGAATATCACTTTGAAATGTAATTATAAAGTAGTACATTGATTTTCCTATTCCAAATAATTAAACAAGTAGGCCTAGCCATATATTCAGTTTTTGAGTTTTCTTCAACGGAAGTGTGAAATTCATTTGATTTTATAGACTGATTACATAGGCCTATATATTTCATTAGATTTCACTACTTCGGTCTTCTTCTGGTGATTCCAAAGACAGCTTTAAAACTGAGAAATATTGATAAAAATGGAGAGATGGATTCATTCGGTGTGAATACCAAGGATAAACCACGAAAGTCCGAAGACTTATTTCCAGGTTGGGTCTTTCTGTTGATTTGGCACCAGGCCTACACAGGGAGACAATCTCTGCTCTTTTTCTAAAAGTTTACTGGATTTTAACCTGCACATTAGCCCAGTTGTGACATGGGACCCGTGGCTTAAAGTCAGGCTCCAAATGAAAACAATATTTGATGTGTACAACTGATTTTTCTAAGAAACAAAAAGCATATTTTTGACGAAAAATCGGAAAAAGTTACTGAAATACCGTACAGATTTTTTAAAATTTAATAACTGGGGAAGGGGCTTAACCACCTATTTTCAACCCTCCATCCCCTCCACCTTCCTGTTTTTTAAATATTAAAAAATTTGTATCTCATTAACTGTTCCCGCGTGTTTTCATCAACTTTGCACAAAATTTCTCTGGAGATTGACTTTAAACGTCTCTCCCGAAAGACAGTGTGCATACTTGCATTTAAGCCACCCAGCTGAAAAATATGAATACGGATGGAATAGAACCGGGTGCCAAAGGATTTCCACAGTTGAGCACACATAAAGCTCCACCTTTGGAAAGGTAAAAAAGAAATAAAGATAGAAACTTAAAGAAATAATTGATCGCTCAAAACTCCTCAGAGGTTATTTTTGGGTCTAGAAAACAAATAATTCGCGGGGGCATGCCGGACGCCCTAGGGTAGTGTTGTTTCGATCGACCCCACTTTCGCTCTCCTCCCCTTTCGGTCCGCCTTTCGCACATCATCCACCCCTGCAAATTGGCTTACACCAGTTTAGCCGACTGAGCTCATATGCTGCTCTCATTTTGAAATTAACACACGTATACATTCAATGTTTTCCCGTAGAGGGCACACTACTAGAGTATCCCATGGTGCCATTTTATCATTTTGTTTCCCTTAGTAACTCATATTTGAAAGTTTTTCTTAATTTATGTTTGAAGAACTGTTTAAAATAAACATAAATTCTTAAACTCCTAAATTTATTTTTAATGTTTTTGCCGTATATAATTCCAATTTTTCATTTTACAACAGGTATAAGAGTCACTCACACGAGTCCATGACCCTGTGTAGCTTATAACATTGCCCCAAACATATACCTAGCCCGACGGCGAATTAATTTATAAACATCCTTTTAAGGACGAACGAAAAGTCAACTTGATGGAGCAAAATAATTAGGATTTCTTCAAAATAGTAACGATATACAACACAAAATGTTTCACTAAAATAAAGCTATTATAAATTATATGTGTTTTATAAATCTAGGCACGGCATAGGGCCTATTGTTTAAATTCAAAATTGTGTAAGTAGCATAGTACATGCACTTTTATACACGCCGCCTATTTTTGTATTACAATTCATTACCGTGATGATACATGAGCTTAACTTGTTTGAAGTTTGAAAAATGTCTGTAGTTACTGTAGTTCCTAAATATTCATGAGTATTTATGCATGTTTGTACTTTGTTGTACTGAATACATCAATTTAAATCAATATCATCATCCAACGTCTACAATAAGTATACATTTATAAAAAAAAAAATCTAAATAAGGCGTAAGGGAAACTTATACTTCAGGTCTTTATGCTCTAAAACATTATAAGAATTAAATATCCGATAAAGATACCCCATTATGCGGACGTCTGCTTTCACTCTAGTGGGCCTATTGACCCTAGTATGAACTATAGACTCAATGATTAACATTATGTCGTATCGTGTAGGCCACAACGCCCTAATATGGCCGACATACCATTTGCATTGCTTGTTAAGCGAAACGGCAAAGACCACACTATGATGATACAAGCGACTTGTTTTGTTTTAATTGCTTCAAGGCAAACTTACAAAATTATTTTTTTTTAGGAAATAAGAATCAACGTCTTTAACTTTGGAAGTTTAATGTTATACATTAAGTACGTACTGTACGTAGGTGCAACAGATGCTCCCTTAGTTAATTAAATTAAATTATTAATTACCTCCTAGCAAAATTTATGGGCGCGTGGTGTGAAATCTGAACATAAGTTGTTTAAAGTTTGACACTTTTGATTACGGTGCCCACACAAATTCACAGGATAGCTGTGTAGGCCTACAATTATTATAAGCAGAATGTTAGAAGTAAATGAATTGGGATCCTTGAAATCTTTATGATGCTATTGGCCTAATATATTTTTGCAGTGTTCCTTATACAACAACCAACACCTTCTCCCAACAACCTATCAACTCATGACGACTTATTATTCGACACGGCATGTGGTCAGTTTGATTGGTGGTCACCATTTTTTGGTCTAGGCCTATGTTATATCGATGAGTTATATTGAGATAGCAGTGAGCTATTTTTGAAATGATTGTAATAGGCCTATATAAATGTATGGTATTTATTATTTTTTATTTATAATACTGCAGCATCTCCAAAAATGTAGATATAGGTTTATGTAAATTTTAAAACTTAATTTACAGTACAATATAACATAACTTTGAAACAACCTAGAGTTAAATCTCTATGTAAGAATTAGTGATATTCAGACACCAGACTTTGGGAAAAAATAAAAAGCTCTCAATCGGCATTAGCATAAAATGCCCTTTTCTGAGACACTCACCGTGTCTGAGATAGTCAACGGGTTCGAGTCCCAATAGAGAGACATTGGTATTTTTTATTCGTTATCGGCTTATTCATTTATTATTATTATTATTATTATTATTAATATTATTACTATTATTATTATTATATAATCATGTCCTTTAGTCGAACACTGTATTTACCTTTCTTTGATGATTTATATATATATATATATATATATATATATATATATATATGCTGTAAATATACGCCTATAGGCTTATATAATATTATTTGATATAAGTATATACATATAAAATTCAAATGAACTAAGTAATTATGTCATCTGAAAATAAAGAGAATGAAAACGTTGCTATTTGTGGTATTAAATTAGGCCTCATATTTTCCAAGTTCAAAGAACGTTTTCTATTTTGCCTAATTTAGGCCTACTTCAAAAATGGAAGTCCAAATAATTGGTCAGAGTTTCCAGAAACCTGCTCCAAAGTAAGACTTTACGGTTACATTCTACTTTAAAGTCAGTATTATTGAAAGAACCAATTCCAAGAACGTTACTTTTGTCAAAGTTTACACTGAGGCTGAACAACTTACTAAACTTATCAAGAATTTCTATTGCTGTTTTAAGCTTTGTTCATCTTTAACAAAAATTGTATCATCTGCTAATTGCTTTATTCTGATGTCAGTACCAATTGTAATAACACTTGTTTTGTTTAATTGACAAATTCAAAATCTCTGCTGATATTATAAATTAGGCGTAATTGTCCACAAGGAAATAAACATTATGGAGGTATAATAACCAATTCTTTCTAATGAAATCCTTCCTGTCACGATAATAATAAGCAATGATTGGTGCTCTTAATGACTAGAGTGTTAGGAATTTTGGATAGATTCCGTACCGATGTGTTTGTCGTCTCCTGACGACAAAAAGACAGCTGTTGACATTTGGTGACAATGCAAAAATCAGAATACCACTCAGTGTAGTATGTAAACACATTGGAACTAAATAATATCTGTTACGAGGTTATCAACAATTTAGCCTCTGAATAATTCAATCAATGTTCAATTGAACCAAATTAATTTGGAATTCGCAATCATTCAGATACAGTATATCACGCCTAGTAAGTGTGCCGAGGTGCCAAAATTTATTAAAGGTTCCTTGATTAATGGACTCACTTATAGGTCGTTGTCCATTCAATAATATAAATTTTGGCACAATACTTATGCCTGTTGAACATGTGAACATCCTGAGCTCTACATCCTTCATTGGTTGATGCGTGCGAAAGGTCGCATTTACGCCTGTACGCACGCGTCAACGCTTGATGTACCCTCAATCACGTCATATGTGAAAGTCATTTCAAACGCCCCCAAAGGGTTAATGTACTCGTACGACATGATGTGGTGGAAAATATTATAATAAAGATGATAGTTCATTATGACGTGCAGCCCTATGTGTCGCATGCTATGTGGCTTCCGTCCAGGTTTAAGATTAGCAGATTTGTAAAGTACATGTATAATCCTAAGGTTGATTATAGAGTAAAGATCACACAACATTCTCAGTGTGATATTCTTAAAAAACGGAATTCAAGAATGTGTTTGCGTCAAATGTATGACACTCGGTCGTATAGATTACATTCTTTCTGTGACGATCAAGAAAAACACGACAAGGTTATTGCGGAGTTCAAACTACTATCTGCTAAATTCTCCATTTCTGGATTTATAAAAAATTATCACTGCATTTTTTATATTTAAACATTAATTGTGAAATATAGTTATATAATACGATCCTTCTTAAACACCAACAAGGAATTTCAGGTTAGGTGTGCAGCTCCCTGCTGAATTATGGTACATTGAGAGACTGCCCCCTTTCAGTAGTGTAGGCCTACGGTCCTGGGTTACTTTCATGATACTCGTCTATTATATGTATTAGACCATAGACCAACGGCTTAATTAATGTCTCATAGGACAATTCAATTAGAGAAAAGCGCCTACCCAAGGAAACAAGCAAGTGTGGAAATAGTATTTTTCGAACTCGGTCGTCTCATAGGTCAATTCCTTACTGCTGCACTCACTCAAATGTGTACGAAACATTTGGATTTGACGACATCTTTTGTCAGTTTATATAAATCATGACTATACCATATCCACAATTCAATTATTTAATTATTACTGGATTTTATTCGTTACAGCAAACAATAACTTTGCACCTGTTTAAATACATTACATTTCAAAACAATAACATGGATTTTGTTACATTCATAGGCCAGGTGGCGACTACAATACATTGTAAAACTCAGATAAAACATTGATAAACTCTGTTTTGGTGGGAATCTTTCTAATTCTACAAAAATATATAATTCATGTATTGACAATTATGTTTCTATCTTTTGTAGGATTCCAGATACCATCGCCAACATAATCAGGAACAACCTGAATCTGGTCGTAGGCTGAAAACATTTGATCATTTAGTGCCACCACAGTCACCTCGAAATCCTCTACGGCACGCCTCTTCAATGGATCATCCACCTCCAGCATCGTCTGCATCTTCACTTCATTATGCAGACGACACATACACACTGGCACAGACGCGCGCCGAGCGCCGTCGGGAGAGGAACGAACGTCGAAATACGATCGGTATATCCGCCGCTAATCTACCTTCTGCAACCTCAGCCTCAAGTTCAAGCACCACTGGTAGTAATTATACCATGTCAACCCTTAACGTCGCTCCAGTATCAACTCACCATGAAAGATATTCATCTGCACCAACTCCATCACCTGCTGCCATTTCCTCCTCGGCATCATCACATCAACAATCAAAACACGCCGTTCCAAGCTCGAACTTCATCTCTGGGGAATCTGCAGGTTTAATTAAGCAAACGTCAACAGATGAAGGGCTGGATAATTTTCCGGAGGTGTATAGCTTCAAGGATAGAAGCAGAGTTCATGAGCTTGTTTCAGGAATCACATCTCTCTACGAGCAAAGACTACTTACCGACGTCATCCTATGTGTTGAAAGTTCTGAATTTCCATGCCATCGCTGCGTCATGGCATCCAGTAGTCCCTACTTTCATGCCATGTTTACCAATGATCTCCTTGAGAGCAAGCAAGAGAGAATCAAGATAGGAGGCGTTGAAGCAGAAGCGATGCAGCTTATTATCAATTATTGCTACACATCAAAAATTGATATCACAGCAGACAACGTCCAGTCATTACTGGTTGCTGCCAATATGTTTCAAATGTATAACCTCCGAGACGCGTGCGCATGTTACATGGAGAAACACGTAGCGTTATCAAATTGCATCGGCATATATTTTTACGCATGTTCACTAGACTGTAAAAAGCTACAGGAACTTGCCAAAGCCCTAATTTGCGAAAATTTTAATGAAGTATGTCGTGAAGAGGAATATCTTTCTCTGTCGAAAGATAAGGTCATAGATCTCATAATGAGAGATGAACTGAACGTCGACAGAGAAGAAATAGTATATGAGTCCGCTATCGCTTGGGTAAAGCATGAATTGGAAAGCAGACGCGTTGACCTCTTCGACATTCTAAGCAACGTCCGATTTGCACTTATCAGTCCGTACTACATCCATGATGTCATAGAAAGAGAGCGTATTGTGTACTGCAATAAGCCATGCATGCAGTTGATTGAATCCTCATTACAGTATCATATGCTTCGTGACAGACGACAAGATCTTGATCTCTCCAAGCTCAACACTAACACCAGGAAGGGTATGCCAGTGAGAGAAATGGTGGTGTTTTTGACACATCACAGCGAAGATATTCCTGATGTTATCGAAAGTGACACATATCGAATCAAGGCTCTTCCAGACATCGTAGAGTATGCTGAATGTGTAGTTACGGGCGAAAATAATATATTTGTCGCCGGTCGACAGATCACTGAATTTGGTTCCCGCCGTGTATATTCACATAGGCGTGGAGGACTGTTCCAGTATGACCACTTTGATCGCAAATGGCTTCCTCGGGCAGCGATGAATCAACCAAGATCTCATTTCAGACTAGCAGTATTAGATGGCATGATCTACAGTGTCGGTGGCACTACGGCAGAAGGTCAAAGTGACGTCACTGAGTTCTATAATCCACACTATAATCAGTGGAGAAATTCTGCTCCTTTGATTGTGCCGGTGAAGAATCACAGTGTAGCGGTTGTTGGTGGTGCCTTGTATTGTATCGGTGGTGAAAGTGGAGATACCATCACTGATGCAGTGCAACGGTTTAATCCACGATACAATTCCTGGAATCAGATGTCTAGTATGATCCTACCAAGGACTGGCGCATCAGCAGCTGTCTTTGGACGCGAGATATACGTCGTTGGAGGCAGTGTTGCGGCTGGCGATAAAACAGCAGAAAATATGCTGAAATCTGTCGAAATTTACAATCCAGAGAGAAATGACTGGCGATTTGGTCCAGAACTGCCAGAGGGCAGGTTCAATTACAGTATTCTAACATTCAATGGAAGTCTCTACGTCTTCGGAGGAGAAACTGATGATGAATCAGTCGATGGTAAGGTATGGCGACTAGACACAGGACGATTTGGATGGAAACAAGATAAAACGGGATGGCCAATCATACAACTGCCATACTACTGTGTTGCAGCAACAATGTCAAAAGATCAACCAGAGTATTAAAATCATGACTTTCTCCCAACTGTCACAGAGGCCAAGGTTCATGATCGTGCAAACAGAAGAACATACTAATTATTATTTTATGCAATGGGTTATGTAAATATGATTACATAATACTGTTAAAAGTGTGGAAAACATTCAGTAGAAAAATTAAGTGAAGATATGTTCGTAATTTGCACGAAGTTTTTCCAGTTATGTTGTTGAACGTAAACGCCACTCGTTTAAAGTTTAAGTAAATTTCGCATCTTCGTTACATTTGGATAATTTGCAAGATATATGAAAGTGTTTTATTTTATGGTAACGAGTGTGCAATATCATTTTCTTGGGACTGCTTAGACCGCTGACCAAACTAAGTGTAATAAAATTCGAATTTTTGGCGGACACATAATTAGAAAAACAACAATAATGATAGTGTTCGCTTTATAATTAAATTAAGCAAGTCGGTTACTTGCAATTGGATTGTGTTGTAATAGTATATTACTTTTTATCAAAATTTGATTGTTAATTTATGTCAAAATGCTGCTATTCAGTTTTAGTGCACGCATTTAATATAGCAATTGAGGACATGTAACCAGGCCTGGTTATACATATTGAAGGACTGTTTAAGCAACAATTAGCATAATAGGCCTACTATATGTATATATAATACTCGTAACGCTCCTTTCAAATATTGATATATTTTCATAAGTTGGATAAATCTGATTGGATCATATAGACAATGGTATACTCAATTAAATTTTAGCCTTAAACATTTCAGTATCCGTCAAGGATGTTCGTTTTTTCTTGGCACGATTCACTATTTTGTATAGCCTATGTAGGCCTCGATGGATTGGGCTTTAATACTAGCTCTTTAAATTGTTAACATTATCAAATATTTTTGATGAACAGTTGAACAAGTACCTATATTAGTACACAAGCTCTTAATTTATAAATACAGGAAAAAACACTTCTAATGGCATACGTATTCCACAAGCTATCACAACTATAATGGCTGTTTCTTGTAGAATATGTACCATTGGGCTTATAATGTTTTTTCTGTATTTTCAGTTATTTGCTAACGGTTTCTTTTCAAAGTGTAGGCCTGTATTCAAATGTGAGAATTGTATATGGAAGTGAACACGTTTTGGAAAGGAAGCAAGGTGGTTATATAAGGTACGGATGCCACATGTTAAACTGTCACACGATATAGCCAATCACCATTTTTGAAACTGAAATTTTGTCGTGGAGTTATTCCATCATGGAATCTAATACTTCCTATCAGTGTTTAAATTGCATTGGACAGCAGACGGTAAAGCATTAAGAAATTTGAATTTATTACAATGATATGTAGGCCTATTAATTTAACAGTTTATGCGCCATTATGTGTAACTTAGCAGCAGACGTATTACTTGCTATTCAAACTGAGGACAGTGCACCACCAGAGTACATTACTAAAAACATTACAATATTTCTCAGCGATGGAATGAGACATATTGTTAGGCTGCTATTGAAGGCCCTAATGATCATAACTGATGAATTGGCTACCATCTGAAACAGGTTCCAAAGGCATATCAACCTCGAATAGGTAGTTATCTCGAGAATATTGCCAAACGCTTGAACATTTCAACAACTTCTAAAAGCGCGCCAATCATCCAGGTGATATCGAAATTGACATCCATCATATCATTCGCGGAAATCATTTGTGCGCATGATATGTTTTTAGATATTGAGTTGATGATTACTGAATAACTGTCATATCAAAGGTGAACTTCTTCAATTCGAGAACCAAATACTGCAGTTCAAAATAATGGGTTTAATATTATCTCCCCATTAGGAAAAGACGCGAATGAATGGATGAATGATTACATTTTTGTTGGGGGTGTGCCGATGTCGTTTCAGTTTGACGTAGTGGTAATTGCGCGTCTGTAAGAATTTCACAAATGGCACGCTAGTACATCGTCTGTGAGATGTAAGTAGTATACCGTACTTGTCGTCACCTACTTCATTACAAACGCGTGACAAGATTTTAATTCAAGCATTCATAGTAATTTATATCAGTTTTGTTAAGTAAATTCAGTTACTGTACTACTTTGGTAGACGTTAATGTATGAGTATCTCCATGACAATTTCCAAAGCCTAATCAATGAATTTATTAAGCCAATGTTTTCAACATGAATCTAGAAATACTTTGTTTAATACTAAACCGAAACTTAAAGATTAAAATCACGTAGTAGTATAATACTAGATTTCTTTCAGGGTGAATGGAATCAAGCACGGTGTTTCAATAATAAATTATAAAATTCTGATTAGCAAATTTGTGTTCAAAATAATTATTTGCAGCAGTTTTACTGTATGCAAAATCTGAATGATTTACAAATAATAAAACCCGACATCTACAATCACGCCATTAACATGGTTTCCATAAAGTTGCTGCACTCTCGCTAGTGTTTTCATTGCAATCGTTGTACTGCTTAGGAGTCCTTGACGCAATCGGGAAGGCTCCGCGATTCGACCAACCAATCAGCATCACCAAAAGCTGTCAGCGAAAGCGTGTAGCAATAGTATGGAAACCAAGCTTTAACCAACTAAACCCGAGGCAATCGGGAAGGCTCCCTCACTCGACCGACTATTTAGAATCACTTAAAGCTGTTGGCGTGTTGCGATTATATGGAAACCAAGCTTAACAAATACAGTCACTTGTCCTCCTTCTAGACAGCGCCGCCAAGTTGATGATAGTACTGAATATTCAGAAAAATAGAATGGGACGTGAATGTTGGGAATGACGTACACTGAGCGCAGTACAAGAATTATAAACACGACAAAAAATATATAATGGAAAATAAATTGAAATTCATTTGCTTTATTCATCATACAATTGAGTGAGTGAAATGAAAGAAATGCTTCCAGCTGTATTATTTTCATTACAAAACACCATAAACAGAACTTCTATGTCCCTTATTTCAAATTTATTTATCTTTCATCCAAATTTGCGTTGCACAAACAAAACCGTGCAAGAATTAATCACCAATATTATTAGCAACAGCAATAATGGTATATTATAAAAAAATACATATAAATGAAGTTAAACTACTATTAATATTATTAACCCATCATTATCTAAACACCATAGTAATACAAACACTATATACAATTATTTAAAATCCTTATCAATATTGCAAAACATGCATGGGCTATACCATTTTCTGGTAGGGTATGCTAGTATATGTGGGCTTCAATTATAGTCATTTTATACAAGTAATTTATAGTCAGTCACACATTTCCAACAGAGATGAATTTATCACTCCGAATTCAATAATACTACATAACACTTTCTACAGAAGTAGGCATATACCATCAGATACAATTCACAATTACCCATGGATCTCTACCTTTTTCCCATAATATTTAGAATCATTTGCCTGGATTACAGGCCATATTTTATTTTTTATATTACGTCTCTTCATTATAAGTTCAGAATACTTTGGTATATAACCACCAGCAAAATTACAACATCCCTATTGGTGGCACTATACGGTGAGAAACAGATGAAAGAGACAGGTGAAATCTAGTCAATCACAAGCTTTTGATTTTCTATGCCTTCTTAATCATTTTCATCTCGTTTTTATATTTATACTTTGAAAAAAATACATTTTCCCTTTGTAATACTATAAATAAAAATCTAGAAGGCTAAAACTACCAGGAACAAGGGAAATTGGAAGAAAATTGAATATCACTTCTACAACAATATATATCGGGAGTATATAAACAAAATATTGACATACAAATATTAAACCTTGCTATGATATGCTGTATCATGAACACCAATAGCAACATAAATACAGACAATATAAATACTGGAAACACAAACTTACACAGTGAAAACTGTACTATACAATTAAGACTGTACTACAGTAGTATTCAGCCATTCTTTACACCATCCAATTACTATAATTTTTAGAAAGAGATACTTTACTGTTGATTCAATACAGTGCTCATTAAGAAAAATTCCCTTTTGTAGTTTATAAACAGTTATTGTATGATTGAACCAATGCATTACCATAAATGGAGCATGCCATCCTAAAACCAGGAACAATGGCCAAAAAAGTGAAAATTGACTTTTCAATTTATTCATATTCTCTGCATTATAAGCTTTAAAATGATGAGTCATTAACTGGGATCAACATACTATTGCCAAAGTTATGAGAAAAAGAGTTACAGTTTATCTGTACAGTACTAAAGTATACAATTGTGCCACATTCTTATGCTAATTATTCAATTTAACATATAGTGACATTATGCTGGTTTTTGGGTGACAAGCTTTATATGTATTTGCTGTAGATGTCAGCAAACTACGAAAGATGCACTGTCTGTCATGACCTAAAGACTTTGAAAATTCAATCCATATTTGAATTGCAAAATTTGGATATTTAGGTAAGTTATTAATTCAGAAAAAATCTGAAAAAGAAAAAAAAAATCCCAGCCAATTAACAGTTTTGGCTGTTAATCAATTTAATGATTTTTTAAGTAATATGTGTGTAAATAAGCAATAAATATGTTTTAACTTATTTATAATCCTTTTAAATGAGCTAGTATAAATTTTTATTGAATTTTCAGCTTTTCCTGATCACTTTGGCAGAGTGTGCATCTTTAACATCATGTGAAAGACATTGACATCTACCTGAACATATTTTAATCATAAAATAAAAACGAAAGAATTAACGAAAAACTGAAATGTTTTGTCTTGGCAATCTATGTTAGGTTTCTTTAATACATAATTATTTAAAATGTGGGCCTGCATTTATTCTATTTTAGTCACATACAGTATCCCTTTGCCTAGATGTTTGATTCTCACGGTGATCATACGGTGCATAATTAATGGTGAAAATATGCGGTACATTAGCATGGTGATAAATAATAATTCAACCTAGTAGTACAAAATATGGAATTAATATGTAAAAATGCATGAAATTATTATGTAGCCAATATTGCAGTTTAACATGGTATAATAAAGTCTATGCTGAATAAAAACTATTTATATACATGGAAATGTTATACTTCACAGCGAAAACCACCTGGGAGACAGTTGCATGGTGATTACCTGGCGCAAAAGATTGTGCTAAATATTTAAAATGATGAATGTTTAGAAACACATGCAACTTAATATACAACTTTTATCCATGCTATCTCACTATCTCTGGACAACTTAACTTACCGATAATATAATCAATACTATATACTTTTTAATGGAATGGGATATGTGTTTAAAGTTACGCAAATTATTTAACATGGAATTTATAGGAGCACCAGAAGAAGTGGATGCGAAGATCCCTATAACAGAAGGAATGGGTACAAATGGCTATTGGTGCTTAACTATTCTTTAAAAAAATCATGTAAAAAAGTGGTTGTTTCATAATATTAACAATGTTGTTTAATTTACAGTTCACCCTCCAATTTAAGACCACCATCTGAACATTTAGGGTTGTCATCTCCAATTAGTGGAATAGTTTTTTGTTAAAAGATAAAATATTATTATTTGGTTCTTTGAAATGTGATCTTGAATTTAAGAGGGATCCCAAATTGGAGGGTGCACTGTATTTATGTATTTCAGCAGCCTGTTCAGCATCAGAGGTCACAGAGCTCGGATATTATACAGCCTCATAATGAGGCTGTTTTGGTAATGAGAAGAAATCCTGGATTTGAACCCAGACTCTGGAATTGGAAGGTAAAAATCTTAGCCACCAAGCTACAAATCCACTAGTTTATAGTGCGAGGATATGAATGCTGCTGATCATGATCATTAACAGGCATCCTTCGTACATTATTTGGAAAGAAATTCAAATTTTGCCAATACCATTGTGAACTACCACTAAAAAAGTAACATTTGTTTTATATATATTTTGGGGTTACTGTTTTTGAGGAAATTAAAATATTATTATTAGATATAAAAATGATTATGCAATTTACTGAATGTTAATTCGACAAACAATCTTTAGCTCTATAAATGTACCAATCGATGTTACTTTGTAGTAAGAAACTAATTAAATAATTAAAATATAATAAGCAATATACAGCATATAATTTCAGAAACAAACACTAACATTATATAAGTGTTAAAATGATCCCAAAATACTGTTGGATATGTTACATGATAATGAAAATTTAGACAGAAAGAAATGGAAGGTTGGTAGGTGAATAATGAGGTATAAATGCTAGCATGTAGTGGGCAGCAGACACAAAATATATATTTTCATGCAAGTGCATTTGCAGTGAATAAGCAGTGCTGTGTCCTTTGCAACATTTGCAATTTGTCTGAACAAACACACCTTTTCTACTAAAGATACTGTCTGCAGTAAAATCTAAAAGAATTATAACATTCAATTAAAACACTAAATTGCTTATTTAATAAGATCAATAAGTTATCAACTTCTAATGAGTTTTAGATAATTTTTACAATGTACAATTCTGAAATTGATTACCAAGCAAATATAAAGATCTATGCAATGAACAGTTACTGTCTGCAAGTGGCAAGGAATGAACCTTTCCAGAGGTTCAAACAGAACAACTGACCAATCAAAGCCAGAAATACGCATGTGTTCTACAAACGTGTGTGTGCGTATGTTTTTACCCCGCCATTTTGTGGGACCTTAGCAACAATATCCAAGGGGCGGGGCTTAGTGGAATGGTCAATTATATTCTCATTCAGATTTTATTTTGAAAGGTAATAATTTAAGTAAAGTGAAAGTAAGCAACTAAATTATTAAATTTGAACTTTCAAGTATAGAAGCATCAATATTTGTGGCCATGGGTAATGATAATTTTGTCACCAACACACATCAAAACCAAAATACATCTAACTATAGCATATAGCAGTGTACTGCGATTACAGTGCATGAATATGACGAGAGAAGATCAGATGTTTAAAAAATTGTGACTGACCTTAAAAATCATACTTTCATTTCATGAAGCGATTGTAGCCAACGAAAATTATAACCTATGAAAATTGTGCTACTTGAGTTGATAATTCACTATTTTGTTTGTTTAATATCATTTCAGGATTTACTATGGAATTATTATTTGACATTTAATATTGAATATTTCAAATCATTGATTCAAACATGGCAACAATGTAAAGCAGATGCAGTAAAGTGCATTGGCATTATGTTGAAGACCAACATATTTAATATATTGTATTTATCTTAAATTCAATTTTAATTTCCCTCCACAAATATTATTTACATATTATAATTACAGTTATCTTCCTACAAAACATCTCTTCAGTTTTAAAAATATTGGAATCAAGATCTTGAGATTTTTTTTTCAATAAAACTATTTGGCACCTTTCATTTTGAATATCACACAAGTTGGAAAGAAATCCTTTTCATACTATCCTCTCAAATTTCTTTGTGAAAATAACATAAATTTTTAATGAAGTATTTGCATTATCAACCTCTACAAGTCAATATCCCTTGGTTGTGTCCCTCACAGGCATATCATTTACCCGACTCCATTAACATAATTCATTACATTTTTTAAACATTATAGCCAGGTTCCGCAGAGAAAAAAAATTGTTGATATGTTGTGCAACTGATTTTTCTAAGACACATTAAAGGGTGTTTTAATAATAAAAAAAAAAGCTGGAGAACGGCTAATGAGATAGATTTCGGAAAATTTCCAAACTGTGGGAAAAGGAGAGTAACTACCTTTTTTCAACCTTTTTTGTCTTAGAAAAATCAGTTGTATAACATATCAATAGTTTTTCCTCCACAGCCAGGCTTTAAAGATATACTGTCTGTAGTAAAGACTGGAAAAACACTGTTAAACATTCATCTAACATCGAATTACTTTATTAAAAGTATTTAAATTTTAACAATAAAAAAACTGAATGATGATTTGATTACAAGCAAACTTAAGAGCCAATGCAAAGATAATAAGAATAGAATCATTTTAGCATCTGTTAAATTATGATGAAAATATGAAGGGCTTAGAAACAGAATGGTTTAACCCCAAAACATGAAAACACTTTTGTTAAAGTAAACTATAAAAGTATCTAAAAATATTACTCAATGTTTTTGCAACACAAAATTAATGTCATAATGTGCAATAAAGAATACATGTTTTATGTAGTTTCAAAACCTCTACAAAAAACATCTTTAAATGTTTTAGGGTTAGACCTTTTTTAAGCCCTTCATATATTCTGGTTATAATTTTTACTTGAAAGTTAATAAAACAGTAAGCAATTGGAATAATAAATTGTTCAGCTTAAAACAGACAGTACATCATTAACACTCTGGCCACCAGGGGTTTGAAAATGTAGAAACACAGATCTCCATGTTTGCGGTCATGCGTTGCATTACCAAACACGGAGATATCCGTGTTTGGCGGGCAGAGTGTTAAACTAATTCAGAAATTTTGTTTAGATATAAAATAAATCAACAACCATACCCTGTTTCTGGTGCATATTATTGCTTCATTTTTAGGAAATGTATTCTTTTAATACAAAACATAAAAGCAAAGGACACCAACAACTTATCTCCACCTTGATGACAAAACAACAAGAAACTTAGCTTTTTAACCGCTGTGTAAAATTCTCCGGAAATATTCCTTTGGAATCTGTGTTCTCTATCCTACCCATAAGCCATCCATCCTCCTGCAAAAAAACAAATGACCTCACAAAATTATATTACATGCAATTATTATATTACATGCAATGCACTTGATAAATGTTTAAATATATCACAAAAACACAAATAATTTTACTGACATTAAAACCAAATTATTTTATTTTTTATACGGTAAGTTATGCAAACTATAATATTTATATTTTAATTAAAAACTAGCAATTACTTTTTTTTAACTCAAAGACTTTTGTTTATTTGATGTTTACATCTGAACATCTCGCAAAACACTAACAAGTCCGTCGCTGCAAGTATTTGGTGACATTTGCTGCAGGGAGATCCAAAAATTTGTCTCCCGTTCTACTAAATTGAAACAAAATACAGTAGATCATAAAGTGGTGTTTGCTCAATCTATAGAGTACTACAGTGTTACGTCATGATACCATGTGATACTACTCAGTTGCTATCATTGCAAAAAGCGTTCAACCAGACAACATTTTCTTCACTGACAAACCATTGATCCCAATCTCAAATGTAATTATTAAGATCTTGTATCTTACTTTTTCTTTGTAAATTTTAATTGATGATTAAATGCGTGTTCGATAACTAATATAATGCCTATGAAGACATTCAGGCGTAATGAATGGTAACTAACGTCTGTTGAGAACAGAGATCGCCACCTGGCGTCGTCACGACACAACTGTGGTTCTCTATAAATACTAAACTGATAACAATAGAAAGTAGTGAATACCTCATCTTCAGGATCATCGTAGTTGACCACAAGTATCACATCACCTTTGGAGAATGACAGCTCATCATCATCTTTTTGTGCGTAGTCATGAACCGCAACAACCTTAAATAGATAGATAGAAATCTTCCTTTATTCTGGATAATTAATCAACTTTTACATTGTTCTTCATTAAGGTCCAGTTAATAGTTAAAACATTAAAATAAGAAATGAAGTTAAGAAATTATATATACAAAAACAAAAGAAAATTTGGTAAACACAAGCAAGAAATATAATAATAATAACCTTGGATCAATTAATAGAAAAAAATAAACATTACATAAACAAATATATGCAATACATTAAGTAATATACACAGTAAAGTTAATTTACTTTATGTCAAGGTTTGATCAGTGCATGATTGTTGACAAGCTCAGTTAGTGGTATTCAAAGAACTGTGACAAAAGGTTTTGAGATTGTACAATTGACAACTCTTTCTAAAATCTTTAACAAAAATTTAAATAAATTTTACTGTTGAAATTTCAGGAAAAGAAAATAAGATCATGCAAAATCACAAGTTTACTGGGAGCATATACACACACTAGTGTCAGTACTAGAAATGGCATTTTCACAAAAGTTAGCAAGTCGGTCTTGAGTTCTGTCCAATCAAAAATAACTTTTAGGAAGACTTTCTGAATCAAGACGTCAAACAACACACACTTCTTCATGAGGATTTTAAATTCTAGGTTTTCTGGATCTTTTCTCTGCCAAAAATTTAAAAAGAATGTGGCTAAAAATGGAAATAAAAGGGGATGAAAAAAAATGTTTTAATTGGCATAATTAATATGTAACTACACTGACATATAATCTACTTTTTTCAAGTGACTCTAGGCTTATCTACGCATTTGAGTGAAATTCTATAAGAAAACATAAACCTTAATCAATATACCTTGTATAATACACCTGGGGGTATGCCTCCATTTTGGTTAGAGGTAACATCAGTTTGATTGGTATTAGGCCTTGCAGGAGGAGGATGCTGGTATTCACCTTCATCCAAGTCTTCTTGTACCGCCTAAAGAGAATGTACATAAATATTTGTTAAGAAAAAGTATAGATAAAAAAAGATTGGATTAAAACACCAGGGACACATTGATCTAATAACTTAGCAGATGCATACACAAACACCCTTATTCTATTCTATTAATTAAATATGCCAAAGTTATTGTAAACAAATTAATTGATTATGACTGAATCTAAAACCTCACCAGCTCAGACTTGGAATAGAATACAGTAGGTATTTTTTGGTGTTATTCACAACTAGAACAACTACAAGTCCAGTGGTCTTTCTGGTGGTACATTGAGCAGTACACTGGGAGACAATCCCATACTCACTTCTTAGAGTGTACTGCCATATTTAAAATGTACTTGGGTCATATGGCAGACAAGACCAACAGCTCAACACAAGGTGCTCTATCGTAACTTGTATTTCAGCTCTCCAGCTAAAATACAAAGAGTGCAGAGATTGGAAATTTATTTTTCCTTAATACATAAGGTCAGAATTAGATCGGGTCTCATATTGATGTTTCTTTGGTTAATTTTTTTGTTTCTTTGGGGATTGATTGGGTACTGGAAAGTTTTTACAAATTGTTGGAAATGTCCCAATTGCCGACACTTACATGATGAGGGGGCACCTGATAATGTTGCGAGTCGTCATCATTGTCATCATCATCATCATCGTAAGCAGTATATTGTGGTGGGTCTGGTTTAGGAACTTCCATTGTTTTTGAAGGGGTGGCAGCCATGGAGAACATTTTATTGTTGGAATCTTCGCTACCTATACTTGTTGGACTCGTTGGAAGCATCCCAGCATGCATCCCTGCATCTATATTACTAGATATCGGATGAAAAAATGAAAAGATTGAGACTTTTTAAATCAACTTAACAGTTAGTAATATTATAATTAAATAGATTAAAATTGCAAAATGTTTAATATATTTTTTCTTTCATCTAATTGGTATGAAAATGTATAAATGTATTTTTTATTACTATAATTGTATTCATATTAATAATTGTTTTTACTTATGAGGTCCACATTATTATTATTATTATTATTATTATTATTATTATTATTATTATTATTATTATTATTAATCCAGGAGATATATGTTTTTGTTTCATGTGTTTGTGTGATTGTGTGTGTGTGTGTAACGCTTTGCTGTTTCAGTTTTTTTCTTGTGTACAAAATATCTCAAAAATGGCTGCATATATGTAAATTCCAGTTACAGGTATTGTTGGGTATGACCCAAGGATGAGGTGATTAAATTTTGGTGACTGTTCCGGATTAGGGTGTGGATGTGAGGACCATTTAAAATGTCCCAGACCAAATATTTAAAAAAATATTCAAATGATATGATTGAAACCTTCGTGTAGGGTTTAACCAAGTTAAAAGGAAGAAATTGGGAAGTGCTGGTGACGATACAAATACAGGGGTACATGTGAGGGACATTAGGACCCACACCTAAATATCTCTTGATTGGATCAATGGTTGAAAATGACGTTTTCCATAATAGTTTGTCATGTTTTAATAAAGAAGTGTTTAAATTTTGGTCACGATCCGACGTATGGTGTGGATATGAGGACCATTTTAAGAAAAAATTACCGTATTACCCATAGGCTGAAGCAATAGCTACATGATCAATATTTAAATTAGTGCAATTACAGTAAATGTGTACAGCGTTCTATATGTACTAACTTCACTTTTTTTGGAACTTATTGAGAATACTTTTAATGCTTCTTTACATTTTAACATGTGATGCTTAAAACCAAATCCCAATATTTCTATTTCCATAATACTTCCATTTTAACACCTCACCTTTAAAGAGTAAAACATGCTAGTATGTTAAATCAGAACATGTAAGGAATTGGCAGGTGTATAACTGATACTATGGAAGGCATTCGAAAAATAAAATGATTATATTTTGGTGCCGATATGCACCCTTCAAGGCAAAACGTCGCAGATCAGATATCTCAAAAACTAATTAACTCATTTAAGTGAAACTTTCGTGTTAGTGTAATTTTTTAAAGTAAGAGATTGGCGAGATTGTTTATTAGCTCCAACGTATGTTAGTGTAACTTTTTTTAAAGTAGATTGTGGTTGGTGGTAGGAATGTAGGAATATATTTTTGACAACTATTTATAGAAATAGATTGGCGAGTTATTAAGCGTTTTTGAATTATTTTTTAATATTATTATTATTACAGTGGTGAACAATTCCTTTCCACATTGGATAGGCAAAGCCCCAGCTATGACTCATGTAGGACCAAAAATTATATATATTCAAAATATTTCTTGGGATTGGTATGTAATAAAACATATAACACCCCCCAAAAAATGGCCCAAAATGGGTCAGAAAGCTTTAAGCATCATGGACTCTCACCAGGGGTTTACTCCTAGACACTGCTGGCCTCCACCAGAGATTATCAGATTCTCTGTCAGAGAGTGTAATCCCCTGAATGTATAGAGTCACCTCTGACGATGTACCCAAAGATACCATAAATTGCTAGCATCAGTTTGATCCTCACTCTCCAAATAATATTGTTATACCGTGTTTCGCAAACTTATTTTTTTAAAGATCTTCAGAGGGTGGAAAACAAATAAAAATAAAATTTAGTTTTCTTTAATCAGCAAATAGTTTTGCCAAACTCATCCAGATGGAGGAGAAAATAAAAATATAATTTTATTGGTGAATGTAAACAGTGTAGTAATTGGGATGGTTAAACGCTTTAAATTTATATAATTAGGAAGAAATATACATATCCTATTTTTGGAGATTTCAAGGCAGCGGTGGGCGTAATAATATTAAAGATAAACTTTTTTCAGAAATTTCCAACTTTTCATGGCGGCGGGTGTACTAACAGGACAAAACTAAAATTTTATTTTTATTTGAAATCATCATTATTGGCAGGCGGCGGTTTAAAAGAGCCTCGCCTAATTCAGAGTTGATGGCTTGTCTTTATATTAATAATTTCTATATTAATATATTTTGTACTAAGTTCTCAGTAAAGGTAACTGTAATAAGGTCATTAGAGTAATGGGAGATACTATTGAATTCCAATTACCTTCTTGAGACATTGTATGTGCCTTTGCCTGCCTCTTCATAGAGTTTATCCATTATCGAATTTAGATGTAACCGTGTTTTACCTATTTCAGTATGGAATACTCCTTCAGCTGAACACACCAGTTGAAATGTTGATGCATAAAATGGAATGCGACTAATGAAATAAAAAACATTGCAATGTGTTATTCTATAATACTATCGTCATTATTGAAGTCTACAAAATAAAGAAAATAACAAAGCATTAAAATACAGGTTTAATTTTGTTATATTGGAAGTTATAGTACTTTCAAATATACTTGATTTGAACAAATAAAGGTAGTAAAATATATATCTTAAGAAAACAATGAATTAATGTTAACAATTGTGTACATTACCCGATGGACTTAAGTGTATATTAGACAAAGTGTAGCTAAGAATGGCAACCCACTGTGCCCCAGTTATGTACCCTGAAAACAGTGGCAGATCCAATAGATGCAAAAGTAGAACACGTTATTTTAATATATTGTCCTAAAAGGTGGGGTAACTGGAAGCCTTGGGTCATAGGAAGATATGGAAATCTATGGGGTACAAGATTACCGACCGTAGCAGTACAGGACTTACCTGTCATAGAGATTTGGAAGTTCATCTAAAAGTTCGTTGTTAATGTCTTCATAACTGGTTTTAGCCATATCAAAATGTTCCTGAGCCTACAACGAGAAAAAAACTAAATTACGTTTTGACAATATATAAGTACTGTGCATAAAGAATATGAGAACTACAAGGAATGCAATAGGAAGCAGTGTTCTCCCAATTGAAAAATGTTTACTGGTAACTTCGCTTATATAGAGCCAGCTAAGTGCACGCAATGTGAGGTACTTCCAATTCTGGTGGAGTTCAACGGCTTAAAAATACAATAAATCATAGCCTAGGCCTGGACTGGAATGATGTTTGTTTATTGAAAGAAGGCAGCCTAGGCTACTAAGGCTACAGCCTACTAAGTGTTTTTTTTTTTAATCCTACCAACATACAATTTTTACCGGTTGGACAGTTATTTTTACGTGTAAAATTGACGGCTAAAACAGCTTCGGGAGAACACTGGGGACACACATCTCGGAGCATCCACAAACATGACTGAATAAAGAGGGCAGGAGTGGAGGCAATGGTGTTGCACTAACCACATGATACAATATATCTTTAAAGTTTTATTATAAATCCATCAATGCATTTTAATTTACTAAAATAAGAAAAGTGCCATGACCTTTGCTGCTTTAGCTTCATCCTTCTTGTTTTTGCTTGTTTCTAGCGCATGTCGAGCACTGTCGAAATCAATCAGTTTCCGTCCTCGTTTTTCAATACGCCTCTACAAAAACAAGAAAAGAACCAATACCATAGTTACAGATTAGTCTTTTTTGCTTTTCCTGCACAAACAGAAAAACCATTGTTTTTGTTCTGAATTTTTTTTTTTTTGGCTTCTCCTGCACAATGTTATACTCTCTCTATTCATGTCTGTAAGGATTTTTTTCTTTTCCCATATACAAGAAAAGAGTAAAGGTAGTTAAATTTTTTTTTTTTTTACCTAATCATAATGCATGATGCCTCCTCTTTCACCCAGATATAAAAAAGCATTAAACAATATAAATAACATTAGCATATTCGAGACTTTGACATTAGTGGCTTACCTTAACCTCAGGAAACCTTGACTGATAAGACAATAATGGGTTGAAAACCTGTTCCACAAGTCGATTTTGATAATCATCCCATAATAAATCAGATGTCTGTTGATAGAAAAATTAATATAATTATGCAACAGATGGATCATTGTAAAGGTAGAACTAAACATTGACAACGGTCTTACTAGTGTCCAAATGGATAATCATAAGACAGGAGAAAACAATAACAACTGATCTTACTGGGTTCCATTGAATCACAAAGATAGGGACATTCTTAATGGATTTACAGGCCTTCAAAAGGATTATTGTAAAGATAGGGACAATACTATTGTAATTGTTTTAATACTAAGGTTTAAATGGATCGTTGTAAAGATAGACACAATTGGTCGAAGGTCAAAAAGCCAACCTTAGTATGTGCACTGAGTATAAATAGTATGAATGTCATTCCACAAGTTGACAAGGCCATTTTATTCTACGTTTCACGTGTATTTAAGCATCATCAGGAATAAGGCCCTATAAAAAATATTATTAGTTTATCACCCTATCTGGACAGAAAAAGTGATGAGGGAGGGAGGCTTTTTTTATTTTTTTATTTTGCTAAATCCAAATATCACCCTTGGGTTGCTTGCTGGTGCATTGATATTCAAAGTAAAACATGATTTAGATAATGCAAACAATATCTACTAACTATTTAATAAAATAAATGAAAAAAATAAATTAATTAAAAAAAAAAAAATTTGTTTCAGTACCATAGAAGAAATGGGCACGGGGGTGATAAACTAATAATTTTTTTTAATGGGCCTAATACATAGAGACTTAGACTTTCAAGATTTTGTCAGTCAGATGTGAGCAAGACAATGTATTTTTGGGTCGTCTTTTAGAGATATGAAAAAAAAAACTTAATGTGGATGACATGGATTATTGTTAACTTAAAGCGGGCAATCACTACGTCATCCGACGACCCAAACTCCACTCCCTGTGAGCATTAGACTTTATTTTATTTTTGAAAATTTCAAACATCTTTAAAGAGGGTAACCCTTACAGTTTAGCCCAGTAGGTTAACTCAGCTGATATTCAGGCTTTCTTTAATAAAATTTAAAAACAGTACAAACAACATAAGAATAAGAAGAAGAATAAGAAGAAGAAGAATGTACAACCATCATAATAAGCCTTAAAAGTATTAAATTCATTTACATAAAAACATAATTCAAAATAGAAGTTTAATTTGCCTAAAATAATATAGTATAATATACTGTAGAATAAAATCAAACAATGTAATAATAAGAATCTCAATAAAACAGCAATAAACAACGACTAAATGTTTAAAATATATCGTTTTAACTTAAGTTTAACTGTATTTTCTATTTTGCAGTCCCGACAATGTGTGCTAATAGTCAGTAGTTGTCTGAATGAATTTTTTTTTTAAAACAGCCTGTTACATGCGAGTCTTGGCGTTGTGTTCTCCATAGAATTGTGTCTGCCTACTAGTGAGTGCCGGCTGTCGATAACCAAACAATGGTAATGGTTTAAAATCATTTTTACCCATCATTATCATTATCATTTTTACCATCACCTTAGCATTTCTCATTTTGTTCATCAACATCACTAAAATGTTCATCCTCATAATCATTATCATATATATCAAAGTAATCTTCATCATTGTCATTACAAAACTTCACCATTATCATCACCACCATCCTCACAAGTTTCTTCATCATTGCCATTATCATTGCTTACTATTGTACATCATCACCACCACCATTACCTTACCTCTCTTGTGGAGCTAATGTTTCCATAACCATCCCATTCTTGCTCATATATTGACTCCAAAGCTTCATGTAGACCCCTAGTAGCTGTACTCATGGCTAAACCAAGAAATCATTTATCTTGCATTATCTCAAACATAATATATACAGTAACAATCATATTAAATAGTAGAATTTGAAAAATGAAACTTTATTCCTGGTTCTTAATTCATTTAAAGACCATTATAATAATGCAACACACTAGTTACTCAAATAATCAACAAGGCAGTTGAATAGAAGATAATATATGTTTTGAATGCCATCAACATCATGCTCAAGTCCTATGAACAAATGTAGTATGATGCAGATTGTTGTTTCCTTTGGTTAGGCCTCACGTAGTTAATTTTGTATAAATTAGCATTCCACAGGACAAAGCATGTGCATAAAGAGTAGTGGTAAGTTTGTGTTAGTTAAAATTTAGAAGTACTTACATTTAACACACTCAATATATCGTTTCAATTCTTTTTGTAACCTGTTGGCGGCAGAAACTTGCAATGCAAAGTTCTGTACATACATTTCAAACATTTGATCCTTGGTTTCATCTGCCTTGCCAAGCTTTTGCAACACCTATGTAAACGGTTTCAAGAGTGGAATTATTAGATTTATTCAATTTATTTCTCCATTAAAATGTCATTTTAATACAATTTTTTCATAAATAATCTAATAGAAGTGCCAGACTTACACTGTACACATAATGCTGTTTAGATTTAATCAAGTATGATTTTCTCACTTAAGTTTATATGTATGTAAAAAATGCATGTGAACACACAGATGTAAACACACAAATAGAATGTCATACATCATAAGGTTGCTAACTAGTGGTGGAATATTCAATTATTCTTTGAGGGAGATTTACACTAAAGGAATAAATCTTATCAGCATAATGCATAGTAATACCCATTTCACACTGATGCTATTTTACAAATATTAACAGCTTGGAACAAGTTGTAACCAGGTTCGGATGAGTATGAAAGCAAATCCTTGTAAAACTTTCCGAGATTTCACAGGGGTCCCCTGAGTTATCTCGGGACAAAAACAGACCATTGCGAGGCCTGTTTTTTTCCCGAAATCTCCCGAGTTGTTGTTGCGCATGCGTCATGTCCATATTTTGACCTTTTCGCGGGCTGTGTTTTTTTTTGTTTTGTTCGAACGAATGGCGGCAGCAATGGAAAACGTATCAACATTACTACCATTTGTTAATAGGCCTAGACCTAAAATCAAAAGAAATCTCGCTAAATTTCACATGTCTGATGTAGAAACAATCACAAGGCTTCGTAAAATACGCCAACAGCGAATCATTATGATGCTTGTCACACTGATTGCCTCTAACAACAATGGTGAGCTACCGGCCGGCGGCCCGACTGGGCCTAGCTAGCCTAGGCCTATCTTTCTCGTCAGCTCGACTACAACAAGCGAGCTAGGAGTCGAATTCGTTTTACTCTCCGAAGGCTAAGGACCATGGAATAATTATAATCTTGTTAATTCGGTACCAGGCCTAGTTTAGTAGTTGATATGTAATTCAGACAACCTACAACTAGCCTAGGCCTACTACTAGTACTACCCTAGGCCTAGTCATTATTCTTCCGAGTTTTCCCAAGATTTCTCATGGTTTGAAAGTGCATGTGTGAAACGAACCAAAAATCTCGGAATATCAAACTTGTTAATAATTGTTAAACGTTGTAATATTTTCTGCTAGTGTGAAATGGGTATAAGTTTCGATATGAATATAACAAAACCAAAACCTACTCTAGGTATTAAATTACTCGCATCATAAAGGTACTATAAAAACTCAAATCATAATAATTTCACTATCAACCTATCCTACTGTAGTAGGCTAAGTAGTAGGAATTTTGGGAACAGTGGGTGTAGCACTAGTGTGGTTGATGGTTCACTTTACATCGCTTGTTGCTTGTACTATACTGTAGGAAAGACACTTTTACCTACTTTCTTCACGCAGGCTTACCCTGCAGGGTAGGATGTACCTGTGCATTTACACTGCAAATGATTATCACCACATTCCAGTAACCAGTGAAGGTTGCACGCTGTGCAAGTTTGGATGTTTGTCAATATGACCACATATAATGTGGCAAGTGCTTTCTCACTTTTGGATTGTATTACTATTTGAATGTAATATGTTAAGATTTATTATAAAAAAAAATCTACTGAAAATGAGAAAGCAAAAAAAAGTACACACACTGTTAGAATCTTTGTGTTTAAATCATACAATGTAATAATAAAAGAATACTTTAATGCATTTAATTCTTTAAAAACCTATTCAGTTTGTTCCTAGAAAGTGCATAACATAATTACCAAAAAGTCAACTGATTAATAATCTCAGATAAGGTACAGTAGTCAGCATTTTAAGTATTGAAATGCATGCCATCCTAACGCAATGGCATGCATTTAAATACTTGGAGTATGTATTAGACTTTCATAATTACTTACAGTATCCATTCAAGTATTTTCCTAAGTATAACAATCACACTTGTGATGAAGAAGGAAATAAATGAAAATAAAAAGGATATATACTGTATATTATAAGTCAATCGTGACGTCATCACGAAATTTCGTGTGCAAAAAAATTCCTCATTTTTTTCGGAGACATCGCGCACCGAGATGAAAATTTAATTGTAATTTAAAATTACTTTCGTAAAACAAGCTTAATTAGGACCCGAAGAGAGTTACATCAAATTCAATATTAAGTATGAACAATTAAGGAATTAATTGTATCAATGGACCTTCATAAACAAAACAAACTGAAGGTTTAATAGGAATATTCTTTACCTATTTTAAAGACTCAAGAAACAAATTTAGATGTAGGCCTACGGCCAGGCAGGAGGCCGCCAATGCCTCATCCTATTAGGCCGCAGCCTAGCCTAGTTTTGAAATCATTGCATGATTTTTACCTGTCTGCATGCATCGACCAAAAATGTCAGTGACTGTGTTCTCTCTCGAATGCTGAAATGTTTATTTCTTTGACGAATGTCTATTAATAGAGCATTACAAACAAGTTCTTTCTAACACAGTACAAATTAATCGTATCCGTACTGTACTGCTGATGTGTAGTTAACGCGTAGGCTACGTACTGCAGGGATAATAATCAGCATACAGCTAAATGTAAATATACACACAATTACTCATCATATCACTACTGTATAGCAAAGGATGATTGCTACAACAGTTGGTTATCAAAAACTAAAATTAAAAGACGGCAATTGACTTATAAAGCAATTAGTAGAGCATGCATTGTACACTAACGGAATATTATTATACTTGGGTTAGATTTAATGCATTCAAAAATTTCCTTCGGGACTTGCAGGCCCTCAGGAAAATTTTTCAAGCATTAAATCTAACCTTCATATAATAATTTTCCTATGTACTATGAGGAGCTCTACTAACTGCTTAATACTGACACTGATTAACAAAAACATGAATAATAAAGTTTGAAGGATTAATAGATTCCTATACAAAACCACCACCTACAAGTTCTTTGAAATCATTGGAATAAATACACAGTACGCATAAGAAGGTCTACTTGTCGTGTGCACAAAATTGTCAACAATAGGGCAACTAGCAAATTATTAATTACAAATGTAATCATAAAAAATTAATACAAACATATGAAATAATTTGATTTAGAAGGACTTTCTTTGAATTATTGTATAGACTAGTAGCAGCTTTGAAACTTACATGATGGAGAAGAAAATATACAGTACATCTAATTAAAAATTTATGACAATGATTCTAAAAATTCAACATTAAAATGAAAATCTAGTTCACAATATAACAATAAAAAAATAATAAACCTTCATACCGGGTATTAGCAAAATATTGTGTACTTTCGGATAAAATATGTCAAGAAAATTTATAATTTCTGTTAAAATCTCAAACCATAAATAAAATTATAAATATGGAATAGAAATGCCACATTCTTGAACAGGCATACTCCCCAAAATGACGAACATATGACCTTTAATGCTAAGCACTGTATTGTTATTCACAATTCAAACCTTGGTTGTGTGTGAGTGAAAGCATACAATATCTATACACCTACGATTCTGTTTTGTTTATGTGAGTTTGACAATAATCCAGCTACAGGAATTTACGAGTTCACATTAGTGAGCTGCAGCTTCCTTTCACTTACTTTTACTGAAAAACGCTATCAACGATTTATTACATCTGGGTTACATACACATGTACATACATATGAAGTAATTTATTGATAGATGTTGCAAAGAAAGCCATGTTCCCTACTACTGTACTACCAGCATTAAAATTATAAAATAAACTACTTGTTTTTATATATATTTTTATTCCTAGAGATTTAAAAGGATAATGCTTAATCTCATAATCTAATATTGATTAATATTAATTTACTAGAATTTTAAAAAATTGAATACATTGTAGCAAGCTTCAATATATCAATCTTTTTTAAACATTCTGTAAATATTACATAATACAATGATTATCTTTCAAGTGACATACATTATGTCATATCGACCTACACAAAGAACAATACCACAGGCTAACTACATTATGTCATAGGCCTACACAAAGAACAATACCACAGGCTGACATCACAACACCAAGGACAATACCACAAGTTGACACCAATGAAATTTATGACAGTGGAACTAGAGTAGAGAGTAGACTGCAAAAGACAAGGGGAAGTACTAGAAAGTATTGGTGAAGGCTGTCTACCGGGTTCAGGATTTGGGTTGCAAATACGGAAAGAATGATCGAGGAAGTTTGTGTAACCAACAAGGAACTTAACGCACAAACTCTCAAACTGCCTTAATGATTATACAATATTATTGCAAACACTATTTGCTATATTGAAACCTGATAATATCGTATTCATTTATATTATTTATTATATCATTTATTAGTTTATTATACTATAAAGGACCCTAGGCATTTGTAATTTACATATTTTGCAAGTTGCTAAAAAAAGAGTGGTGTTTGTTTTTGTTTTCTAAGTGTTATTATAAAGTGTTAAATAAATTGTTGTTGAGGTATTACTGTATTTTTTTATGGCTACTGGCTGCAGTAAATATTAATAAACAAAAATGAAATTACATTCAATTTAAATAAAGCATCTTAATGAAAAACAAAATTTTAATGTAAAAAATACCTGTATGAATTATTACTGTATTTATCGTATCACTATATAGAAAAATCATCTCACTTTTAGATTCAAAATATGGCAAGATGTTATACTGACGTGACCCTTGAATTTTAACTTCAAATTTAAGCTTTGTATAATGCATCAACATTCTTGTGTTAAAACCAAATACCGAAAATCAATGTGTGCTATTGTGCTAAAATATTTAATTAACAAAACATTTGGAGTTCCAGATGTTATTGTTATAATAAATAATATACCTACTACGTATATGCCCAGTTATGCTACACTAGAAATAAAGGCCCAATAAAATTCACTATCTTTACAGGAAAAGTGATGAGGGAGTTAAGGTTTTTATTTTTATTTTTTTTAATTTTGCTAAAGCCAAAATAATTCTTTTTAAAAGTCAAAAACTTCAAAAAAACTTTTTTTTCCAAAATATATTTTATTTCACTATCACATTAGACATGCAGATGAGAATAATAAACTGATAATTTTTTTTATTGGGCCTAATCTTGATTAGAGACTAACTGGTAGTCTAACTGACCAAAATTCATGCGAGAATGCCACACATCTCTAACTGTTACAAATTTCTGAGGTGTCAATTCCGTATTGATGATTACATATTCCTCACAACTTTTTGGGGGTTTCTTTTTATGGCTTGTCAATTGGCATAGTTATTAGTAATTTACCTAATACATTTCATAATCTATTTTCTTACTTTGTTCAGTGGCAACTAAAGTGGAACATACTGCAGGCCTACTGTTGTACCTTGTATGATGCAGTATTCTGAATACTAGATGCTTAACTTAAACTGTGGGTTGCATCTCAAATTGAGGTTGCCATTGTTTTCCAGAGATATGCGAAAAAACAAAAGGGAAAAACAAATCACTATTTTAATTAAAAGAGTGCCATTTTCTTTCATTTAGCTACAGGTAAATGGAACTTTCAGTCTACTGGTCACAAATTATAGGCTACTGTGCCTCATTCTGATGACAGCACAGATGCAAGTCATAAACCTAAATACTGACCTCACCTAGGGTTCATGTGTTTGTTCAAAATTTAAACGTCATCAGGCGAAACTGAACTCATCCCAAGTTGATAGAAAGGAAGTTACTAAGTGTGCTTAATACAGGATTACCTTATATGGAGGACTCCTATGATCAGCTGGGAAAACATGTTTTCGTTTAAATAATCTGATGAATAAAAAAAAAACTTTACTGTTTTCGTTATTTTTTTTTTTTTATATATATCAAATTATCCATTCAAGAATAGTAGACAATATTAAAGGTTTGTTAAGGAAATTTCTTTAATATTTAGGCATTTGATATTACCAATGGTGGCTTTCTTTAATTAATATTACTGTAATGAATTTTGGCACAACTTAGTACCATTTTAGACAATTTGAATAAACATCCCCATCTCAATCACATTTAAGAATGAACGTCCTCCCAAATAAAATGCGCTGGAGTAATGAGTTAAAAAAATAATGGAAGCAACACCATTCTTATTGCCATTTTATCAAGTTTCACTCTCACAAAACATAAATTATTGCTAGCCTTGAATCTATAACCTACTTTGATCATGCATACATCCATTTTACACACAAACAAAATTCATCCAGAGGTGACGGAACTAGGGGGTGCTGTGTTATGGAGAGTAATGTGTGACTAAATTAAGGTGATTAATTTAATTATCGAAGATATGGAGACAATTATTTTGAATATCCCTCTTTCCAAGAGGGGAAGTAAATGCTTTGTGAAAATGAGTACGCCGCGGTACTCATTTTCACAAAGAAATACACACAACTGGTTAGCTAACAATTATGTCAATGTTACATGAACACCTGGGAAGGAAGGTGCAATAACGTTGTTACCTAGCAAACGTCGTTCCTGTATGGGGAGGGGCTGCTGATGTACTGTGTAGCGGGGGACGATGAGGCATAAGACTAGGCATAGGCCTAACTAAGACAGTGGAAAGAAAGAAAGTACACTTTCGGAAGAAATAAATTAAAATAAGAAAAAAAAATAACTAAGAATAATTCATTTGCAGAGGTACCTTATTTAAGTATTATACAATGCTAACAATGCGGCTCTTGTAGCCCTGGCTTGGCAAGGCATCCATGTGCAAAACAGTGGTGTTTGTTTATCCATGAAAAAAGCACGCCGCTAATTTTTTTTTTAGAAGATGAGATTTTTTATTGTAATATTGCATTATACTATATTATGTTGTTATATGTATGTTAAAAGCAATAAAAAAATTTTAAAAAAGCACGCCGGGAAAGTTTGCCTTACCAGGAAAAGGTGACGTATCTAGCTTATGACATATGCATGCTAACTAATGTGAGTGTGACGTCACCAAAAAATGAATACTTTCTATTATAACCAAAATAAACTACAAAGTTTCTGGGCGTAAATTCCCTTAATATGAATGAGGGGTTGCTCAATCTCCTTGCCATACAAATTACAGCTCCCACTGACGTCTCAGTCGAGAAATATGGGTAGCTGAAGTTTTTCTCGCAAATCTGACTACAAAACCATATCCAAATTTCACGTTCCACTTTTGACATTGAGTTGTGCTTCGCACTCGCCACTGAGGGCGGCGTTCTGGGAACCCTGTGTCTAGCTCTTGATTGAAGTCTGCCTAGGCCCTTCAAATCCCCTGACCAATAAATGTCGCAGAGTATTTATTCTCAAATATGGTAAATATTATTTTGGGTGCTGCAGTGCATTTGTAAGTGAATGTCAAAATCTACCCAATCAATAAAAACATCTGCACACTGTGCATAATAATAAATATTGATATATAGTATAAAGATCTGAAATGTAGGAACATTTATCAGGGTGAAAATCATTTGTCACAACGCTTAAATGAAACCCTGGTGATTGAATATTATAAACCACAGGTGGGCAAAGTGTGGCCCGACAAAGACTTTTTTGCGGCCCGCGAAAATGAATACCCTATGTGTGCGGCCCACCAAGCAACATTGGATAGAAAACACCTTGTTTTTTATGGCCCAACACCGATCATGTAAAAAGTAACATCAAAACTGAGAATACAGTGATGTAAAAGCAGCGGAGGTGTTTGGATGCTCATTTGAAACATCAAAGTTTTGGTGCGGCCCTCAGTATTAAATCAAAAATTAAATTTGGCCCTCCCACAGATTTTTATGCCCACCACCGTTGTAAACAGCCATCAAACTCATCCACTCCCCTTGACTGGGAGTATTGTGCAAGTAACTTCATTTCAAAACATTTACTTCTTACATGTCTGGTAATTAATGCGGTGAACAATGTATCAATTATAAATAGATTGTTAGAATACTGATCTAATAAATTCCAAGATTGAGGGCCGATTTAATATTTGAAGGTTTCGACCTGAGCCAGCAGTAAATGAAGGTGTGAGCAAAATTTCTGTTACTAAATTTTATAAATTATTTGGGATTTTCAGAAATTATTGTGGAGATTTCATTTTGTGTATATTGTATTGTGTTTTAATGATGCAGACCTCTGTGACTCATTTGTAAAAATCACAATGCCATGCATTATGGTATGTCATTTAGTGGCATACAGCCCGGTCAACTCACAACACAACAACCGTGTGTCAGCTGACATCGTTGTTCTGGTGCTGCCTTTGGTTTTTTTCTTAGGTGCTGACACACTACAGTATTCAACTAACATTACTATTAACCAAAACATAGTAATAATAATAATAATAATAATAATAATAATAATAATAATAATACAATATACAATTCATATTTCAGCAGACCGAATGACCATGTGTGTTAACCATTTGTTGGACATACAGTACATGTATGTTGGTGAAGACTATGTGGGAATTATACTAAACAATCCTCCCAAACACTTTTAGTATTCAACATAAACGTACCCAATGCACACCACTGCATAACTCTTAAACATGAACACTTCGTTAACCGACATCAGAAGATCCTTATTCTTTGTGTGACATTAAATGACAATGCCCAAACTATGTGGAACCTAGGCCTAGTCATGACCATCACCTAAATATGTGTACTGGTCATGCACTGACACACACCTTGGCAAACTTTGTCACTCAATAATATAGTTTCCCCTACGTTTCATATTGTTATTTAACTAGACTAGGCTATTATTTTAAGAATATGACTGACATATCAAATAAGGTCACACCCCACTAACTTACTAATTAATTCATTACCATAAACATACAGTAAACAACAAGTACCTTATTAAGTTAGTAAATCATCACCACATTTGACATCACAAAAAAGGAGAAGAGGAACCAGCCCAACCCACCTGCGTAGGCTTCGATTTTAGCATCTCCTAATAAAGTATTAGGATGGCTAAGCCACTACGTCATAGCTCGGCGATAGCCTTCTTAGGTCCCTAAACTAGCTAGTAGTAGGGCCTAGACTCTATGGCAGGCCTAGCTAGGCGAACAGGCTAGCCTCGCCTAGGCTACACCAGCCAGGTGGGCCTAGCCTCCTGAGAGGCTAACCTACACATCTGATGAAAACATTACTAATTTAGCTAAGTATAATCTTTCTAGAATTGTGTGTATATTAAATTGCTTAAAGTATTACCTTAGCCTGAATCCTGTTAACATTTTTGGAGAATATACTCCCAGTTTTACCAGATCGACGAGCACTCCCACTGTCAGCCATCTTTTAAACTTGGGTAGGATAGGTTTAATCAAACTGCGCATGGGCGAATACTCTGATCATTCATCTGGTACAACAACTGTAGCATTATTTCATTAATGACAATGTCTGTTATGAATAATATAAATTAATTTTGCTATTAATAGGGCTACAGACCATTAAAGATGTATTGTCCCATGAAAAATACCAATACAAAATTTTTTTTAAATTAAATTAAATTGCTCATTTTTTCAGTAACATTAGTAATGATCAACTTCAAACATAGGAATTATTGTATTTTAAAAATGTTTATCCATAACAACACAAAAAGATAGAAATACTTCAAGTCATTGAAAAGAGTTTTTTGTATTTTTTATCATTACCCAGAATAAAAATCTGGGTACACATTTTAAAAATTAAATAATTTCTATGCTCATGCTCAATAATTTGTATGCTACTTGAGTAATTTCAAAAGTATGATTTTTTGTCATTTTCAGGAGACAATACATCTTCAAGCCAAATGGCAATACTGTACTATATCATATTAAATGTTAAATGAATATTGTTTTAAATTGTTATGTGGTATACAAGGCGGTATCGCGGTGGATTAAAAATTAAATCTATCCATCCATCCATTATCAAACTTCCAATCTAGCCATCAATCAATCGATTCATTCATTCATTCATTCATTCATTCACTCATACACTCATTCACCCATTCATTCATTCATTCATTCATTTATTCATTCGTTTGTTTATTTGTTTATTCATTCATTCATCCATTGTTCAATCGCTCATTCATTTATTCATTCATTCTTTCATTCATTCATTCATTCATTTTGTTTATTCGTTCGTTCTTCGTTCATATTCGTTCTTTATATCCATCCATCACTGATTCCTTTGATACCAACTTTTACATAACTTCTAATGTTCCATATAGGGGAGACTGGGGTAAAATTGAGTGCTACAGGGTGGGGTGGGTAGGCGATGTCCCGACCAGGGGTCATGACCCTAACAAAAGGGCCAATGTCCCATGGGGTGGGCGTGGTTAAAGGATGCTCAGAACCCATCAGAGGGGTCCAAGCGAAGACCCGGAAACTAGGCCTATGATGATAATTTAGTGATTTGAAAGGCTTATTAAATCAAGTTTGGCGTTCAATGATCTGTATTTTTTCTCCCCCAAAAGAAATTTGTTTTTCTCCAACAAGATGGGGCTGCTCTCTCCGACAAGGCCCTGTCCCGCTCCCCCACCACCACCCTACTCCCACTGGCGCCACCCCTAAGATTTTTTGGAGTTATAAGAGTAACTCATCACTAGATTGCGTGTTTATTATCAAGATATCACATAATAAACGAAAAATGTCACACTGATGGAAGTCAGCACCTAATATTATGTCACTTATAGGTGTAAAATGGACTTCCTATAGGCCTATTTGGTATAGGTAATCCAGTTTTTTAGCTTTATCCAAATCGTTTGACAAATTTACGGTTTGTAAATCTCATGACTCTGGGTTCATGACTTTTTCATGCTTCTCAATCCATGTTTTAAATTCTCATGCTGAACAAGGGCGGATCCAGAGGTGTCCGAATGGGGGACCGAAATAGGGAAAATTGAGAGACAATACTACGGGGTCCGGTCTTTTTCTTTCTTTTTTTCTTTCTCTTTATTGACTTTCCGAAAGGAGTGAGGACGGGCCGGCTCGCCCTTCCCCCGTCCCACTAAATTCGCACCTGATTATTCATATACCCCAGTGCTGATGTTCCGTTTTACCTCAGACGGCCTAATTTAAAGTTCATTCTCGGACGAATACAGCGTGCACAATGACATTTAGTTAGTATAATGCCTGAGTATAGTCTACAAATTTTCCGCTGCTTGTATATTATATTATATTTCCATGCCATAGATTAACAACACATAAGGCGCTGATAAAGCCAAAAACGAGAGAAAATACAATTGAAGTTCTATAAGAGTCTTACGGTCGGTTCGTCGCTGGATTAAAATCCGGATGCTTTATAACCATTCCAGGACCAGTTATAAGTCGGTCATAACATTTTCTAACCTTCAATATCACCCCTCCCCCCTTTCCTCACACTGCTTGCACCACCCCAGCAGTGGCTCCAGAAATGTGTTTGCTGACTGAGGGAATTCAACATCCGACGGGTAAGGGGATCCGAACCAAGGGGCACACTAAAGCCTCGGTCAGGGTCCCGTAAAAAATCCCTGGTGGAGTTTACGGGGAGAGTTTTTATGGCTATATATGGCCCAAATTTGTGTTTTTAGATAATTCGGGTTTGGCAATAAAATTAACGTTACGGTATTTTGATAAACAGATTAATATTTTGACCCGATTACCTCGTCGTGACATCGACAGACGGAGGGGGGGGGGGCGGAGCCTGTGCGACTGGGAGATGCCCCTCCTCCGCTGGCGCCACTCCCAATTTGTTTTGCTTTGCTGCACACAAGTAACGCTTGAGTTAACTTGCCAATTCCGAACCACTGCACCGTACCAGACTACCGACCAGGCTGACTATGGCGTCCAATGTGTAGGCCTCCTACAAATACAAAGCGCTGAAAATGAGGAAATAAATATATAAAGGAGGAATTCAAAAATACAGGGGTCTATAATTGGACGATAATTGATACGATAATCCATATTATTCAGTTTATGCTATACTTGGATAGATTAAAAACCAAATGTTGTGTATAAACAAACAAAAAATTAAATTGAAAATACTATAAGTTCTACTAAGACTTGAACTCGGATGACTGGATTCAAAGTGGCACTACATTATCGGTTATAAGCCGATCGTTCATAACATTTTATAATTAACATTTCCATCCCCATTTTCTGACACTGCTTTCACGACCCTAGAATGACCACATAATTATTTTGTGTGAGGTGTACAAAATACAAGCCACGGATGATGAAATAAATATTTAAAAAATATCAAAAATATAGGTCTCTAAATATTGGAAGAGAGATAAATTGAAAACCGAATGTTGTTTAAGAAATTAAAAAGAAATGTGAGGTTCTACCGAGACTTGAACTCGGATCGCTGGATTCAAAGTCCAAAGTGCTAACCATTACACCATAGAACCGGTTACGAGTGTTGCAGTCGTCCCCCAATATTTTAGACTGCTTTCACGACCCCAGGTTGACCATCCTCAAAATGTTTGTGTAGGCCTACTGATAAAATGAGGAAATAAATGAAATGCATAAAAAAGATGAATTGAAAAATATAGATTATAAAAATTGGACGATAGATACAAACTTTAAATTAAAAAATTAAGTACTCAGCTTTAGATAATAGGACTCTTTATATGAGTAATTTTTTAGGTAGATCGGTATAAATTGTTATACTGCATTTACTTATTTTTTTATAATTAATAAATGGAAATTTTGTATATTTGATCTCATCAATTTAATATGTAATGGGATTCTTTTTGTGTGCAGCTAATCATAATGCTTATTTTGTTCTAGTAACTTGTTCTATTATATAATGAGTATAGATGTTGTGGTGTTTTATGTTAAACATTTAAAAAAAAATTAAATTCAGTGTCTTTTTACTGGTATGTCAATATGTTTTATGAAAACTAGAAGTGAGTGAACGAACGAAAATACATAATGTTTAAATATAATAAATAAATATAAAAAAGGTTCTACCGAGACTTGAACTCGGATCGCTGGATTCAAAGTCCAAAGTGCTAACCATTACACCATAGAACCAATTACGAATATTGAAGTTGTCAATCACTGCACTGGACGACCACCTAAAGTTATGTGTAGGCCTACAAAATAAAAGGCATCAATAAAAATAGGCATAGTTAAATATTATGGGAAGTTGAGGAGGCAATCATTGCGGATGTTCTAGTGTAGCTGTCATTATGTGTTTTTTAAAGGACCATCTTTGTATACGGTAATGTTTTGCGTGAGTGTCTCTGCCGAATAGTCCTTGTGAGGAATTGTCCATTTTGATAATACACCCTCTTGCATGTGAAAATGCAACATAATATAGTAATAGTGTGTTAATTGTTTGAATGCTGTGTTGTGGTATTGTCTCTGGATATATATGGCTATGAATCTGTGCATGTGGGACTTGCGTGGCACAATGACGCCATGACAATATGTGACTGGGAAGTAATCAGAAAGAAAATGTATCAATTTTGACAAAAAAAAAAGCACATGTAGGATAACATAATCGACTCCTAATGTAAAGTAGCGGATTTTCGTTGGCGGTGGTAGCTACAACATGTGTGAAAGGGTAATTTCTTCAGTAAAGTGGTCATACCATGTCCTGCTATTTTAAGGTACTATAAACGAAAAGTATTAAAAGAAAATTGCGGTAAAATAATTTTTAACACATCTCTGATTGAATGTAGTGAAAAAATGTTTTGAAAGTAATAAACATATGGATCATTTTCAACAACCCCAGCATACAATAATAATAGATCTGTTTCTGTGCAGTTTTTTTTAAAATAAAACATCATAGCTCAAGAATTGTTGGACTTTCAAATAAAACCAGAAGAGTACGTGTACCTTTATATTACATCATCTCCGAACGCTTTAGAACATGCCTTATATATTACTTTTTCTAAAAATATTATTTATAAATGTCGTCAAAAATTAGTACAATTCAAAGCACACATGGTTTTCACCCTGTAACAAAATGAGAATGGTGCTACATGAACAAAGACTTTAATTCAGATCATCTCCGTCAGTCATCTCCGTCCGTCCGTCACAGTTCGTCCGCCACAGTTTACTGTGACGGAGATGATTTCTTGATGTTTTCTTTTGTCAATAATGGAAATAAAGTAAGGGTGAATAAGGATCTGGCTTATTCTATTATCAAAGCACCTTGTTCAGTGTTCATTATCATGTATTACATCAAACTCTCTCTTTTGAATTCACTCAGCTTCACATCTAGCCTATTAAAATATTGTCATTTCCGTTACAAAAAGTGTGAATTCCACACTTTTTGTGACGAAGATGATTTCTAAATGTATTTCCTATGCACAACACTAAAAATTGAATGTTTAATTAATTGCATACCGGTATTATTCCCAAAAGTGCGCAGCAAACGTTGATTAAAGGCCTCTTTATACTTCAACGCTAAAAAGCGATTGTTCATAATTAAAAAGAAATAAGAGAAGTTTTTACACTAGGCCGATTCGATAACGATTTATCGTGTATACGATAACACAATATTAACAAATCAAATCAGATGACGTCATAATCATGGAAAAACGATAAAATCGTTGCTACTACTACGATTTTAATGGTTTCCATAATTATGACGTCATTTGATTTGATTTGTCAGAATATGTTGTTATCGCATAACTGATAAATCATTATCGAATCGTTCTAGTGTATAAACCTTTCTTATTTCTTTTATTTTCTATATGAACAATTGCTTTGTAGCATTTTTATCGTTATCGTTGAAGTATCATAATCCATTGAAGGAAATTCAAATGTGAAACTTTTTTTTCCATAGTTTTTTAAACCACTAAATGTGAAGAATGACCCGAAAATCATAATTTTGAAATACTTTCGGAGATATTTTGTTGTACAGAGAAAAACACAAAATGTAATTATAGTAGTATTACCGGTACATGAGGAAATAAATGAAATTGATAAAAATGAATTGAAAAATATAGATCATAAAATTAGACGATACCGGTATATAAAATCTTTAAATTATTTTTATTAGGTAGATGGACGGTATCAATTTCACACATTGAGTTATGTCTTAATTTTAGTTTTTTTAATAATTATTTATTGAAAATGTTGTATATTTGATGGTTTGAATGGTTATTTGTTCTTGTCACTTGTCATGCAGCTGTCCGTGCACTTGTATAAAAAAATGGTTACTGCAATTCATTGTCTCTGAGCTGACTGTAATTGATTCCTTAATATTAGAGAGCTACAGAACTTCTTTATAACATCCGATCCTCTCATACTGGACAGGCCTACCCACACATCAAATCTCCGTGAATGAGTCCCCGGCTCCCCTTTGAAGCAAGGGTTTCAAAACGATGGTTCTTACATTCAAGTCGCTGTCTGGCCTTTGCCCGCAATATATCTCTGACTTTTACGGAAAAGCAAATTCGGCTTTAAACATAATTTCTATCAGCCTAGGCCTATTCAACAAGCGTATTGGCAACAAATCTGTCCGACGTGTGAGGTGCCGCTCATCTGGAATAGCATATGTGGCTGTCTGTAGGCCTTAACTTAAGACTCACCATTTTGGCTTCATTCTTTATTATTATTTTATTTATTGTTGCATTATTTATTTACGGTTCCGAGTTTTGCCACTGCTTCTTTGATTTGTTTACTTGTTCTGTGCTTGGGTTGGGCATTGATCATGACTGCTTGTAGATTGTGAGGTGCTTAAGTATGTGGGGTGCAGTGCAGCGCTTCGTCCAGTGGCGTCGAGAGCCAGAAGGGCCCTGGGGCAACACCTCACATCCCCCCCCCCCTTCACTTGGGACCCCCCCACTCGGCCGCTCCCCAAATTAAGTCTCCTCCTAAGACCCTATTTGTCCAAACCCATACCCATTCCATGTGATTATTTTTTTGCAATGTAGGCCTAGATGTATTAGAATAATCTGATGAATAAACGATAATAATTATATATATAATACACGTATATACATACCACTTTGCATGCAGTGAGAGGTACATATAAAATCAATCATGAAGATTAAGATCAGTATCATATTTTATTTCACTTACCTTAAGAAGAATTTACAAGAAATCACAAGTAATTACTATCTACTCAGATAATCAGGGGCGGAATTAGAGGGGGGACTAAACAGGCTTTAGCCCCCGCCCCCACCCCCTAAAATTTCATAGCCATTTCTTTTTAACTGCTTTTTGAAGGTCCAAATTAAAATATTTTTTAATGTTTTCTTCACACACATCATATTTATGGGCTAAACATTTTACAGTGTAGTTGTTTTTCAGTGATAAAATAAAACGAGACTTGAACTCGGATCGCTGGATTCAGAGTCCCTGTCTCTTATACACATCTAGATGTGTATAAGAGACAGGTGCTAACCATTACACCATAGAACCTTTTCAACCAATCAATTTGTCGATAAGAACATTTCCTTCCCCATATTTCTTACTATATTATTTTTGCGGCGGCTGATTGATTAATATGATCTTTTTCAGATCTACTGCCTCTGCTGGCCTCATCGGAGCTTTCGAGATAACGCGAACATTGTTTAGGTAGTGGTATAAATTTCATATATTATTTACTTTTTAAAATTTATTATTGTTTTTTATAATTAGTTATTGAAAATTGTGTTTTTTTGGATCAATTTAATATGTAAATTATGCGATTCTTTTTGTGTGCAGTTATAATGGTTACAAACAAACCGGTTTTAATCATTCATTAAAATTATATATACTCCTACGTCAATATGGTTTATGAATAAATCAGAAATGAATGAATGAATGAATGACAAACCTAATACAGGATATAAAAAATAAAAAATAAAACATTTTAAAAAATGAGGTTCTACCGAGACTTGAACTCGGATCGCTGGATTCAAAGTCCAGAGTGCTAACCATTACACCATAGAACCGGTTACGAAGTCGTCATGAATTCATGGAGTTTAGGTCGTTAACAAAATGTAGTTTTAAATTTGATACTTTTTAGAAAGGAAACGTCATTTTTTTGAAAGCTTACATGACTTTTCCGTAGAAGTCCTGCATACTACATCAAAAGTTGTCTTTAATTAAGTATATTGACCTCTTTGTACTAACAGTACTGCACCTATCTGTGCACCGTTTCCAAATGAAATAGTTTGGTCAATTTGGAATCCGTGGCAGAGGGCGCTTGGTGATGTAATCGTCGGCGGCGGCGGTGTCTATCCCACACTCGACACACACAGGAAAAGATATGACTGTGGAAATGAAAAACGTCGTCGTTGTTTGGCAATAAACTGATTTGTCACAATTAAAATATTTAAAGATTGAAAGGTTTGTTATTCAATAGGTGTATTATTTATACTCACCTGCCATATATAGCTTTTATAAAATCTAATACTGAAGTGAATATAACGATATTTTTAGTGAAAAGGCCCAGTTAAATGAAACTTTCCTTGTCGCATAACGTTTTCGGCCTAGGCTTGGCCTAGCTTGGGTAGCCTACCATAGGCTAGGCCTAGCTTCACTTTCCAAGTTGTAACAACTCGGTGAGTCATTATGACTCCCAACTCCTCTATTGTATGATGTCTTGAAGCTAAGCGAAGTCCTACGTTAAATGCTTGAGATTATGGTCAGATTTTTTGAGAAATTTAATACCGTAATTACAAAGTTATGACTTTAATTTACAGAAATACAGTATAATTTTTAGCCGGGCTAGACTACTACTAGGGCCTAGGCCCCTAATAATTACAGGCCTAGGCTAGGTAGGAGTCTTAGCTATGGCCTAGGCTTAGTGTAAGTCTTATATATTGCTTAGCTGCCACTAGGCCTACTATTATTTATAATAAGCCAACACAGTTGGCTACAGACAGTAGCCTACTAACTATACTTGTTACTTGTATAGCGCCTTTTCAGTTACGAAATGTTATAGAACTGGCCAAAGCTAAAAAAAAATGAAAACAGGAAAAGCAATATATTTATTTTGTTTACAACAATGAAGGCACCATGTTTTTCCAACCTCTTTTTATTTTGCTTTGTGATCATTGTTCAAGAGTGATTATCTTTGTTCTTCATTTTTCAGGTCTTCAAGTAGAAGTGCTCCCATGTTACATGTTTCTTGGATAATTGAAAATCTGTAATATCATCTGGAATAGAAGAAGTAGTAGTCGTAACTTTTAATTTACTCGTTTACAAATGGCACCAGTATGTTATGATACTGCATAAAACGTTTAGAATTATGCTATATATATTTTTTTGAAGAAGAAGATATTTTTTACAAAAAGCTTAGAACTTTTTCCAAAAAATAATGTCAAACCGGCCTGGGGGTAGAGGGCAGAACCCTCATGGACTGAAACTCACTAATCTAGATGACATATGGGATGATCTTCGTGCTGGTATACAGCACGTATACAAACGCCAGAGTATGGCACGCAAGCGGTACATGGAGCTATACACGTATCCTTTCATGTAAATTTAACAATATCATGTACTAATTTTAAAACACCTTTTCTGCATTAAATAGATTCTAGTCATCTTTATCACTTTCATATGCAATGTTGGAGGATAGTATTTTGTTATCTACTGCACATTTAAGGATAACAAAGGCAACTATGCAATTCACATTTTTAACCCTGTCATTAGGTCGAAGTGGGAGTATTTCTTAAATTTGAAGATCAATGCAGGTGAACCTACTGTACCAGCTATTTAAGTGGAGGGAGACTGAGAAGTGCCCTGCTTAAGACTAGACACCTTTAATTTTTCAATCCTAATAGTGCACCACATCATTCCACAAAATAACAGACTGAACAGTGCTCATAATATCAATAGATAGCTTATGTTTAATATAAACAGTTGAATAGTCTCATGACATTTGTTGCTACAATATACATACAAACTTTGTATATGAAAGTGAGGTACTGTACTAGAGGTGTTTTGTACAGTATTGTTCACAAATATAATTTTCTCTGGATTGTGAAAACTTATTGTTACAACATTTGCAAATATGTATGTTTATTGTTATTGTGTTGTTTATATTTATAGTAATTTAAATGTACTATATATTCTCATAAGTATTTTATTTCTGCCATGTATTTTGTATTGATATTTTGTATCTTTATTTTGAGTTCACTTCTTCCTTACATGTTATTTTTAGACATGTTTACAACTACTGCACAAATGTACACTCACTCCAGAACAGGTCGTCCTCATCAGCTAAGAGCAAGAAAGGGTCAAACACTGGCGGAGCACAGTTTGTTGGCTTAGAACTGTACAAAAGATTGAAGGATTTCTTAAAGACATACTTAAGCAATTTACTAGAGGTATGTTGAAATAATTACATAGATTAGATAATCATGTAAATGTGACCATCATAAAATAACATGATGATTGGCAATGGTTATAATGAGGTGATGATGATTGTAATTTGATAAAATATGTTTCTTAAGGTAAAAAATATTGCAAGTTTCCATGTTTCATTTTGACTGACAGGATGGAGCTGATTTGATGGATGAGTCTGTTCTCAACTTTTATACCAAGCAATGGGAGGAGTACCAATTTTCCAGCCGCGTGCTAAATGGAGTGTGCGCCTACTTGAACCGACATTGGGTACGGCGTGAATGCGATGAGGGACGCAAGGGCATTTTTGAGATATATTCTGTAAGTTCATATTTATATGAAATTCTACGTGTTCGGTTCTAGAGCTCTTAATAGTAATTATCAGCAATTATTAACAAATTACTACCAGTGTTCTCCCCAGGCCTTCGAAGCGTCACGGTACCGTGACGCTTGAGACTTCACCGTGACGCTCCCAAGCCGGCCGTGGCGCTTGATCCGTCTTCCGTGAAGCTTTAAAATATTGTCAATAAAATAATTCAAAATAAACAATGCTGTCCATGTATCCTAGGTTGAAGAAGAGTGAATGTGAAAATATATTTAAACACAAAACAATGCTATCTTACGATGTTGGTTTGTCAGCCCAAGTTCATGCTTGATCTTTTTGCGTTCATTTTTATGTTATCTTTACCTTGAGAAGTGTCAGTTTCATTTAAAAACACAATCCTTAGCTTGATTCACACAAACTGTTTGCTTTAAAACTGCATGCATGTCCATGTGCATGCCCAGAACGATCTATCTGGATTTTCCTCACCACATATACTTCTTGACAGCGAAGTCACAACGCGATCGTTTTTGTGTTTAAACAATTAGGCAATAGGCCCTATGTTGAATTTGGTTGTTTTTTTTATGATAAACAACATTTTTAATATGATAATAATACTTTACAATGGAGGTAAGTAAGTTTAGATCAAAGTGTTAGTTAATCTAGGCAGCCTACTTGGCTGATGTTTTTTTAGATATCTAGCTAGGCCTAGGGCTGGCCTGCCCAGTGCTAGGCCTAAGTGTCTAGCCTTCTCCAAACGAATAGGTAGACAAGAAAGACGAGACGATTCACACACAATAGTACGTAGGCGTATGCCTATTAGAAATGAATATTGTACAGACAAATCTGTTTTACGAATGACCAATTTCCTTGGTTTGACAGGTACGTAAAATTTACGTTCTGCTATGATACTACTGGCCTGTTTTAGTCCCAAGTTTTGACTTGCCAAACAGTTTGAAACAAAAATTTAGGCCTAGGCCTAAACTAGGTCGGCCCAAAATTGCCATCCTGTGGCAATTCTGGCTAGGCTATAATAGTACAGTATATGGTCACTAATGTCACCAAAAAAAATTGTTAAAAAATGGAAATCTATAGTAATTTCAAAAATCTTAAAAAGCATTTTTGATGTCTGAGAGTGCCATTTCCGGGAATCTAGATCATTATTTTTTAAAAATTTCCCCAACCATCATGGGAGTTGGGAGGGGATAACACTGAGTTATCTCCTTTAATATCAGGGCCACTTAACCTATTAAAATACTGTCAGATTTTCCAGTGTGGTGATTTGTAAATCATTTTACTCTGCCTGTTTCACGTTCCCTACCAGGGATGTGAGTTCATTGCTGTCGGGCTTCACTCAGGGTGCCAGGACATGAGTTCACACTCTAATTGTATATTGCATATTAACTCGCTGGAAATCATATCATTTGGTCGCCTGAACAGAAATTTTCACCCTGGAGGTTCCAGAAGAACCTGGAAGTAATGGCATAAAAATATATTTTGTATGTTCGTTTGTGTTTCAGTACTGATTTTTTATTATGGTGTCGTACTTTATGCCTTGGCATATGGGAGTATGAAAAAAGTCTTGGCAGTCAACGTGTTAATTAACATTGATGTGTTTTTTCTTTTGTAGTTGGCATTAGTAACATGGAGGGATCAATTATTCAAGCCTCTACACAAGCAGGTATACTATATAATGAATTTAATATGATTATAACAACATACTTGACTAGTAGTACAAATTTTAAAAAATGTCTCGAACCTAAATTAACCATGCATTATAACCTTACACTTACAATGACTACAACATTAAAATATTTGAACACAAATTGTAAATTCATGTGATAAAAATATGAATAATATTTCTGTATTAAAATATAGGTGACAAATGCAGTGCTGAAGCTGATAGAACGAGAACGTCAGGGTGAAACCATCAATACAAGTCTCATAAGTGGTGTTATTCAGTGCTATGGTAAGCTACAGTATCTTCATTTTTATTTGCCTAGAAGTATAGTAGTAACTTGGTTTATATTCTCATCTTCCAATTGTCATAAATTTTCTTTAAGTAAGAATTTTTAAATTATATTTGTTTTCCAAACCTGTCCCCACAGATAATGATGATTTCAGATAAAACTAAAATTTGGCTAGCACACCCTTCTTTCTAAAGTATAGTTTGCTAAACAAGGAAAAAAATCTTGCTCTTTTGGAGGTCACTAGAAATGAAAGTTTGAAATATTTATTTGTTGCAATAATTTAGATAAATTATGAAATTATAATTATAGTTATGATAATTATTTCATTATAATCAATTTCAAATTCATATAGAAAATAAATGTGAAAAATATAATTATTTGTGCGGTTGTGTTCAAGTGACATTTTGACATTGGATATTGTGATCTGTTAACAGTTGAGCTCGGTTTGAATGAAGAAGAGCCAGCAAGCCGTGGTCTTACGCTGAGTGTGTACAAGGACTCGTTTGAAACACAGTTTCTGCAAGAGACTGAACGGTTCTATGGTTCAGAAAGTGCTGAATTTCTACGCCAGAATCCAGTCACAGAGTACATGAAGAAGGTAGGATTGAAACCAGTAGCTTTCCTTACGACATGACTGATGCTGGCCACGTTTCTTGTGTCCTTGGGCAAGACACTTTATCTACATAAATTCTCTCACCACCCAGTAGAATAAAAGGGTACTATGCATCTAAGAGCTTTGAAATGGGGCGTGTGATGGGATCGCTAGGACGAAGTGGGAAGGTTTGATGATTAGTTCTGGGTGGGGGGCAGCAGCTAACAAAATATGGTGATTTTTAACTACTTGAGTGAATTTTCTTCAAAAGTTTCTAGTGTGAAAGGAGGGTACTGTGGGCACAAGCTTTTTGGCGGGCGGGGGTAGCATACGCCACTGTTACCTGGAAGGATGTAAATAATTTGGAATTATTTGATAAAATGCCGAATACGCTATGTGTGTATGATTGATTTTGTATCCTTTAGGGAGGTTTCGCATGTGAACGCATATGGTTAGTGTAACGTATACGTCATCATTTATGATGTCATACGCCAGTTGCTATTCGCTAACGTGTGGACGACACGCATATCTCACTCACTACACATAGGTGAAAAACACATAGGAAAATCTTATTATCACATTTTACAGTAAGTTTAAAAAATAAATGTATCTTTAATACGTACGTACCATTTTTGTGACTTTTGAAGACAGCAAGTTACGTTTGTTTTTCTATTAGGCTGATTCTAGGCTTATGGAAGAACGTAGGCGTGTTCAAGTCTACCTCCACGAAAGCACGCACGATGAGCTCGCAAAGAGATGTGAGCATGTGCTCATAGAAAAGCATCTTGAAATATTTCGCTCTGAGTTTCAAAACTTATTAGATGATGACAAGAATCAAGGTAAGAATATAGGTTCCTTTTTGAAAAAGCTCTGTCCTTGTGTGTAACTTTTTGTTTATTGGTGGATCCAGAGGTATAATAACATTCCTGTCTTCTGCCATCAATTTGAAATTCATTGATAAAATAGATTTAATTATGGGTTCTAATACAGATTACTGATTAATTAATAATTAATATGACTTTTAGCTAATTCTCATAATAATTAGGCCTTTCCTTATTTTGTTCATTATTCATTTATTCATTGATGTGCTATTTATTCTGATGCCCTTACCCCCTCAGATTTGGAGCGTATGTACAGACTTGTATCCCGTATTCATGAGGGGTTAGGAGAATTGAAGAACTTGTTGGAGCAACATATATACAGCCAAGGTCTAACAGCTATAGAAAAATGTGGTGATACTGCCCTCAATGTAAGACCCTTTATTATGTACTTAAATATTGATAATTTTTTTGATCTTATAACTATTAGCGAGTTGATTGGCTGACCGGATAAGGCAGGGGCACGCTCAACCAGCGATTTAGTTTTGGAACAATTCTTCTCGGGGAAAAGGACAAATTTCTTGGCCGACTGTACACAGTAGACCCCAGCCTGGCAGGAAATGAAAACAAATGTAGATGATGAATGAATAATTATTGTTTAATTTTTTATTCAAACTTGAACAAATTCAAATAGGTGATCAATGACAAATACTATGGTCATAAAGAACATTCTAAAGAAAATAAAAATCAAAAAGAAATTATTTTTAAATACTGTATGATGTTTGTTTATTTTTTAGGAGCCAAAACAGTATGTGCAGACAATATTAGATGTTCACAGAAAATACAATGCTCTTGTTCTATCATCCTTCAATAATGATGCAGGCTTTGTTGCTGCTCTGGATAAGGTAGTGTGTTTAATTTGGTGCTGTTTTACCATAGCAGTACTTTCAAAATAATGAGCTGTTAACAGATTTCCTCCTAAAAGAAAAGCCATTTGAAATGAAAACTACTAATGTTGATTGTTCTATGAGTTTAATTAATCACTAAATCTAACCCTTCCTCAAGAATCAAACAAATTTGTGGCAACCAATCGATTTTGATAAACAGGTACTCAAAATGGACCAAAATTCATGTTTAATGTATAAAATTAATGCTTTCATGGGATAATTCTGTATTGGATAATTTTTAATTGGTGTTGTAATACCATACAATTTTACTGACAAGCAAAATTAGGCTATCAGCTCTTAAAGAATTAATATTAATTACATTATCTGTAAATGCAATCTTAAATTTTTATTTGGTAAATTGTATGTTTTATTTTCTTTGAAAGGCCTGTGGCCGATTCATTAATAGCAATGCAGTTACCAAGATGGCCAATAGTTCGAGTAAATCTCCTGAGTTGTTGGCCCGCTACTGCGATTCCCTTCTACGGAAAAGCTCCAAGAACCCTGAAGAAGCTGAACTAGAGGACACTCTCAATCAAGTGGTAAATAAAGTTGATTAATTAACTCTTATTGCTGTAACTGATTGTTGCATTTGTACCTTACATGTAATCTTTGGACAAAATACAAAAATTAAACAGTTTTCAGTTGAAATAATATAATAAATATTGTATTATTATATCACACACTACTACCATATTTTACAGAAACCAATCATGAAAATGATTGCTGAACAGTCTAACATCTGTCTCTTATACACATCTAGATGTGTATAAGAGACAGATTTTACAGTAAGTTTAAAAAATAAATGTATCTTTAATACGTACGTACCATTTTTGTGACTTTTGAAGACAGCAAGTTACGTTTGTTTTTCTATTAGGCTGATTCTAGGCTTATGGAAGAACGTAGGCGTGTTCAAGTCTACCTCCACGAAAGCACGCACGATGAGCTCGCAAAGAGATGTGAGCATGTGCTCATAGAAAAGCATCTTGAAATATTTCGCTCTGAGTTTCAAAACTTATTAGATGATGACAAGAATCAAGGTAAGAATATAGGTTCCTTTTTGAAAAAGCTCTGTCCTTGTGTGTAACTTTTTGTTTATTGGTGGATCCAGAGGTATAGGAACTGTCTCTTATACACATCTAGATGTGTATAAGAGACAGACCTTGAGAAGTGTCAGTTTCATTTAAAAACACAATCCTTAGCTTGATTCACACAAACTGTTTGCTTTAAAACTGCATGCATGTCCATGTGCATGCCCAGAACGATCTATCTGGATTTTCCTCACCACATATACTTCTTGACAGCGAAGTCACAACGCGATCGTTTTTGTGTTTAAACAATTAGGCAATAGGCCCTATGTTGAATTTGGTTGTTTTTTCTAGATACGCCACTGCTCCTTCGGCCTCCATTTACCAACAGTATCATATTGAAAATATTTGCATAATACTGTCACAATAGAATCCTCTAAATAAGAATGTGCATCGTTTATTGCCATAATAGACTTTCATGTTTCTGAATTTCATGTAGTGTAAGGTTAAATGAATCTATGTTAATTATTTAAGGACATATCTTACATAAGTATCGTATTTATTTTTATCACAACAGGCTGCAATTGTAAGAATCATGAAGATGCGTAAAGTTCTGAAGCACCAGCAACTGTTGAGTGAGGTGCTAACTCAGTTATCAAGCCGCTTCAAACCTAGGGTTCCCGTTATTAAGGTATGTATAGCAATGTTTATAAAGCTTTTGGAATCATTAATTATCAATACAGTAATATCATCCTTAAACAAAATCTCCCTACAGGGGACAATTTTGCCAGGATAGCCTAAGCTAGCTCAGTTAGACCTGGCATGCTGGCCAAAGTAGCTTAGGCTAGGCATAGGTCTATGCTAGGCCTATGCATTGCTAGGCTTAAGTCTGAGTGAGTGAGTGAATGGATGAGTGGCTTAACATTCCTGCATAGGATTCATTACAGGGCCTTCTTTGATTATTACTATACATGCATTTTTCCATAAATATTTTAGGGCTGGTCTAGGCCAGTAAATAATGAAGGCCTGTATGCATTGGGGTTTTTTTTAGTAGGCCCATTATTTGAATAGCTTGTTGCAGCCTAGCCTAGGCCCTATGATTGATGAAAGTCAGCAAAATCACTTTTAAAGTAAATCAATGTTATGAGTCATTTTTGTGTGTTGTTTTTGTAATTGCACATAGTATTATAACATTGACCAAAGATTGCTACACACATTATGAAATTGCTAGTCAATTTTCAAATTGATTAACAATTGTCCCTAATCAATATTTTGCAATGAAAATATTCCCTGCCCTATTTATTTCTATCACCTTATCTCTCCAATTCTTAAGCTAAACATACACTCTCAGATTTGAATTTAACAAACAGTGTTTGATGAGACTTATCTGATGAAGTACATTGTTAAGCTCTGTCCAGACTATCAACATTTTATTTGGCAAAAAACTGTTGTATGCCCATATATAGTCATGATGTGCCTATATATGGTCATGATGTGATGTCATCATGACCATATTTAGGCATTTCGCATGTCTGGAGAAAGCCTAAGGCTTCCTGAGGATATGGAAAAATACACAGTTTGATCAGATATGTACAACAAACATACACTATCAAACATTGTCTAATGAATTATTGTCTGTAAATAAAAATCGAAAATGTATAATCAGCCTTCGCTTATTGGCCGCTTGCACTTGGCAACTCATCACAAAACCAGAGTTGCTTATATTCTCTTTACTCCTCATGTACATTATCATTATTTACTGTTTCCAAAATAAGGAAACATTTTTCTGATACAATCATTACCACAATGGTGCTATAATATTATACTGTCTGTTTTTGAAAGTGAGAATGACCACCTGAAACGTCATTCTGTATATTATTTTATTAAATAAACATATTTTTTTTCTGCAGAAATGCATCGATATACTGATAGAAAAAGAGTATTTAGAAAGAGTGGATGGTGAGAAAGACACATATAGTTACCTTGCTTAAATTCTTTGGTGAAACACAAATGCAGGAATTTCCCCAATCATTACTAATCTCATCTCTTGATCATTCATCAAGTAAGCTACTGCAAGCCTCAAAGTTTTTATATATATTTTTTCTATTTAAAGCAATTTCTGTGTGTAGATCCAGTTATTTTTTATTAATTATTTGAAAGCTTGGCATTTTCAAGACAACACAACCTGTTGGTGTTAACATCAGATGATGTACTGCCATTGTAGAGACAACATAACCTGTTTGTGTTAACATCAGAAAGGTTACTACCATGTTGGGAGGGGGGAATGATGGCTTAATGCTTTAGCAGTTGTCAAATAAATATTTCATGTGTTATGATAAAGGTAGTCTCATAACTGCAGAAACATGGGTCATAAAATAGTTATAAAAAAAATATGTTAATTTATCATCTGATGAGAGTAAACTGTAAATCAAAATATTCCTGTAGATAATGTGAATATAATTAGGAAGAAGTGGAACAAAATTGGTTATATATACCTATTAAACATTGACAATTTTTAACATAGCATCATTTTATGTAGCGAAGAATATCAATAACGTTGCAGAATAATAGGTTTCTCCTCTCCAGCAGCAGCATGTTTATTAGTCACATAGAAAATTAATGCTGTAAATAAGTGTGCATTTTAAAATCTACAACGAATTAGAAGTAAAATCTAAATTATTTTTGAAAGAGGTGATGAGTAAATGTTAAGTATGTGCTATTGTTTAATAGAATCTTCCTCTGTTTAAGTGTCAATTCATTGTAATGTCACAGATAGTGTACATATGTGATGTAGAGTTATGTTACCTGTGGGATATCTAGGGGTCTGTTATCAATGTATCCCCATTTCATCTTCACACCCCCATCAGGCCCCCCTTCCCCTTTTCAAGACTCCTAGATACCCCACTGATGAGAACATGTCAGATATTGAGCAAATTTGTCGTATGAGGCATGTTGTAGCAAAATGGCTAAGTTGTAGCAAAAATTGAAATTTAAGTTATCGGTGTTGGTGGAGCATGCAATCTTTAAAATGAGGGGTCATTCATTGAAATTGAACATTTCAAATCTGTAGTTACTGTAGAGCCCCTATGCTCTTGAAGACACAAATATCATTCAGAATTTTACAATTTTTGCGCGCCCTTATTTTTTGTGTTCATTGCAAAAATAATGAATATTAAGGGTGTGCAAAAAAAGGGCTATACAGTATTGGAAAGTGAAAGTACAGCACTCATAGAGTCAAGATAAACATTATTTTGAGTAATTGCCTTCCAAAGTTGTCATTGTTTAACATTCTGACCGCCAGTGGTTTTAAAAAGTAGTATCAGCCACTGCCAGACTTTTTAGCGAATTTTAACATTTTTTCGAAGCTCAATGAGAGTGTGTATGTGATCAAATTGACGTGTAATAAATGCTACAAGAACTACAAACATCTTAGCTTTACAATGGTACCAAACACTTTATTCTAATCACAATCTGTGACCCGTAACAGTAAAATGAAAGTGACTCACTTTTGTTGTTTTACGCATATTCACACAATGAAGCTGAGATAACCGCGTTTCAGTATCGCCGTACAATAGGAGGTCACTGAGAATAAGTATTGAAATAGAGAAACACTTACAGTCCAGACTATATATAGTGTTAGTACATGTCGGTAATTACCCCATCTATCGGATTCTGTAGAAAAACCTGGAACACAGAGATCTCCGTGTTTGGCGGGCAGAGTGTTAATAGAATTAACTATCAAAATAATGTTTAGTAAACAATTTGTTGACCACTTCCAGAACTTAGACTTCAAGACATGATTAATTAGAAATTAAACTGTTAATCTGTAGTGAAAAAAAATTATTTTTTGGCAATTTTTTGAGCTGCTGTATTTTATAGCTCATTTACTCAATACTGGCCTGTGCCATGACATGCCTCATATTTGTGGCATGAACTTGTAAGCTGAGTGTTCTGCAGCTATACATATAAGGGTAATACTAATGGGTGGATGTTAGGTACGTTTCCTATCCATTTTAAACTTGTGGTGAATTATAGATACAGAAATCAATTCTCAAATGTTGGTAAATTATAAGTTAATCTTAAAATGTTGGTGAACTGTAAAAACTAATTTCTTAAATATGATGGTCTATAAATAAACCATGGACCTATTAATAAGATAGGTCCATGAAAAAAAAACAAATCCAAACACATTGGTAAACCAAATATATACAAACCTTTAAATATTTTGGAACTATACAGTATATAAACCAATCCTAAAACAGTGGTAAACCATATAAACTAAACTAAACCAATAATAAATCATTAGTAAACCAGGTACGCCAGTAGTAATTATTAGTGATCAACCATAGTAAACCATTGGTGAACTAACAGTAGATACTAAACTTTGACAAACCATTAGTCAATTCAAGAGAAAGCAATTATCAAAAATTGACAACCCTATACTAAGGTACTAACTAACAACAACATTTGTAAGTCAACCAATAACAAACCATTTGTAAGCAAATACCAAACCATTGATGAAACATTGATAAACTACAGGTAGTAGCGACCCATTACTTTGTATGAAACATATGACATGATTGATCTACTTATTTCAATACACAGTGCAGAGATGTAAACCCATGCCAAAAAAAAAAAAAAAAGTTTTCAAAGAAAATTTAATGCAAATATTCATATATAACAAGGAGTAAACTTGTATATAAAACTTGTATCCTTAGAAATGTCTTTAATATGCTTAATACAGCAGTGTGTCTAGACATTTGTATTAAACTGACTATAACTACTTCCATAACAGTTATCCAAACCTCTCCATTACGGAACTCACAAGCCAGTGTGATTGGCTTATTAAATGCATTGTTCCTTAAAAAAATGTTGCTTTTATGTTTTTTGGAGGGTTTTTTAAGTTGAATCAGCCAAAGACATCTACCTTTGTATAGCAATGTGACATTGGAAATACTGTATTGGCTTCAGCATGTTTTTTAAATTTATAATTATAGCTGTGGCGGAACCAGAGATGTCCGAAAGGGGCGCCCCCAAAGTGGGTCGGTTGAGACAACAGCACTGTAGGCCGCAACATTTTTTGTTTCTGGAGGCCCGAAAATAACCCCTCATTTGTTTTGGGCGATCATTTATTTCTTTTTCCTTCAAGTCTTTATTTTTTCTCAAA